TTATGGGTAACATTTTTAAGGAACCATTTTTTAAACTTATTTTATTAGTTTTTTTTGAAATCTCAAGAATTAAAGTACTGAAATATAAATGCAAATATAACATATTTGGATAAAATTATATTAAGACATCGAAATATTTTTGGAACAGTGATGATCGCAAAATTTTTTTTATAAAAATATTATGTTTCGTTCACTTTCTTACTTTCTTATTTGTAATTTATTTCACTTTTTAGTTCATCAGTCGATCCGCCGGAAAAAGATATTCCAATTTGCACATTAAAAAATTTCCCCAATGAAATTCAGCATACCATACAGTGGGCACGCGATTTATTTGAAGGTTTATTCACAACTCCAGCAGAAACAGCAAATCAGTTCATATCTGATGAACGCGGTTTCTTGCAGCGGGTTGATCAAATGAACACAGCTCAACGAGTTAGTTATATTTATGCATTTCATTCATTTACGAAATGAAGTGATGTTTTGATAGAGGTCCCTGTGCGAGATGTCCGAAATTTATGAGAAACTGGTTACGGAATTACTAAAAATTGTTAAAAAATTTTTTGCTTTGTGAGTTTTCATATTACTTAATTTGCAGTTGCACATGTTGTCCAAAGTAGAAGAAGCTCTGATCCGCGAAAGACCACACAGCCCGGAAGATTGCATAAAGTGGGCTCGGATGAATTTCCAAGTTTGTAGATTTTAAATTAATTGAGGCGAAAAACTGATATCACATTTTAAAGCGCTATTATGAATTTTAGGAATATTTTCACAACATGATTGCACAGTTATTGCATATGTTTCCGCCTGATCAGGTGACTGAACAGGGGATTAAATTCTGGTCAGGTAGTAAACGTTGTCCACATGTTTTGGATTTCAATCCGGATGAGGTAAAAATTTATATGCCGTATTTTACAGTAATAGAATAAAATTCTTGACACGTTGACGAGTCATATTTGTTATGAAGAGCTATAGCTTTTTTTTAGCTTATATGTTTTTTTTTTTTTTTTTTTTTTGTTTGATACTTTTAAATGATGTTACAATATTTTTTTAAATCTTAAATTGCCATATAACTCCATATTCTAGCCGGAACACTTCAATTTTGTTTGGGCTGCATCGATTCTTCGAGCACATCAGTACGGCATTACACCAATAATTGACAAGAAAAAGTTCTTGGCTGTCTTGAATGAAGTAACTTTAAAATGCACATAAAAACTTGCGAGTTTTTTCTAATATTTTTTGCGTCTTCATCGAGTTCTATTATATTTTCAGATCCACCCACCACCGTTCATGCCGAAATCAGATGTAAAGATAGCTGTTACTGAAGCCGAAGCAAAACAAGAAGAAAAAGCAACAGCTGATGGTAAATGTGGTTTGCTCTTCACCGAGCAAATAAGTTTTCAGAAAACTAATTTCCTTTTATTATTAACTGCTAGCTTTCGTTAGTAAGACTTATATTTTAGATGACGTCGACGAGAAACTGCAGTCAGTTATGATGAATCTGGCGAAATTGAACAAAAAAACAACAAAGTCATTGATTCCGATCGACTTTGAGAAAGATGATGACACTAACCATCACATGGAATTTATCACTGCTGCTTCAAATTTACGCGCTGATAATTACCAAATCACACCAGCAGATGTTATGAAAGTAAGGGTTCAAAGAAAAGAATTTCACATCTAAGTCAATTTCACTTGCTTAATAAGTGAATTGCCAACTGAAAATGAAATTAATTCAGACGAAGCAGATTGCTGGACGCATTATTCCAGCTTTAGCGACGACAACAGCTGCTGTTGCCGGATTAGTTTGCATTGAATTATATAAAATGATTGGTGATGGACATCAACCACCGAACGTCCCACTGAAAGTTTTCAAGAATGGATTTTTGAATTTAGCGTTGCCATTTTTCGGATTTTCGGAACCAATTGCAGCGCCAAAGAAGAAGGTTGGATTCAAGGTTTTGTATTTGTTTTTCTTCCACACTTTTGTTTCAGACATAAAATTAGCTTTTTCACCTCTTCATAAATTATCTTTCCGGTCTTGCAGTGTGCGGATGGGTATTTTACGCTCTGGGATCGATTCGAGATACAGGGACCGAAGAAAATGAAGGAATTAATTCAGTGGATCAAGGTAAATCACGCATTTCATTCATTTTATTTTTTTCTGAAATGTTCTGATGAAGAACCAATAAAGAGTTTTTAGATTGACTATTTTTAACTTATACTTATGAAACTGAGTTTTATGAACAAAGCATTCAACTTTTACTGACCTGAAACTGAGTTTTATGAACGAAGCATTTAGAATTTTTTCTTGTTACTTTGTTTTAGGTAAGTTCTATAAGTCATGCTTGTCGACCTCTTGAAAATCCAGTTTTCTCAAATTTTTGGTTTTCATTTAACAAATTTCGGAGCAGTTGTGCAGGAATACGGCATTGTTACTTGTTGTTTTGTATCTTAATTTTTAAATTTGCAGGAAGAAACTGGACTGGATGTAACAATGATGTCATGTGGGGTATCACTCATCTATAGCTTTTTTTTAAGTAGTGATAAAAGAATGGAACGCTTGGAGCAAGAGTGAGTTTTGGAGCTCATTTTTATTTGAAAAATTATTTACTTTATGGGTTGGATTACAAATTATTTGCTTTCACTTTTTTATTTTTATTGTGATAGTGGGAAGTAACAAGATAAGGGACAAATAATTCGTAATTTTTAATTTTTAGCATGAAAGACATTGTGGAAGAAGTGACGAGGAAGAAGATTCCAGACTATGTGCAGTCGATTGTTCTTGAAGTAATAGCCAATAACAAGGATGATGAAGATGTGGAAATTCCATATATCAAATTCAATCTCAGATAAAAAATGCTATTCTTGGAATTTTCATCGAAATGTGAAGAGTATAGAAGCTTACATTTCGAGTTAATTTGATCAGGTCAAATGGTTTTGTGGGTTTCAAAAAATGTCTTCTCCACTTAGCTCGATGATATGATTAGCTTACAGTTTTTCTAATTTCAACTGAATACTTTTCATTGTAAAAGTTTTGTCTTTGCATGCATAACCTCATTTGAAATGCAGTGGTTTTGGACGTCCATCTTCGATGATGAACGAAAGAATGAAGATTTTCTATGTAAAAATTCGCTTGGGCTATCAGTAAATTTAGAATGCTTTAAAAATTTTAGTGAAATGTTCCTGGTTTTCTCCTTTTTGCAAATTGCTTAGAAATCAATTAGTCACTACTTGAACGGTTATATGTGTTTCACAGATGTTCGATTATCATTCACAGCTTTGATTTATAACATTTTACGCAACTTGATGTAAAGATTTCAATATTACCGATATTTTGGTAAATTTTCACTCTTCTGAAATAGTGGTTCTTAGGTTATGCTTCTTTTATGAATTGAACTAGTAAATCTGACTTTATTTTTTGAAGCGGTACTTGAAATGATGGTTTGGCTAATCGTTTTTCTCTAATTCTCACTCAAGCAAATATTTTATATCGTTTCTTTTATGAAATAAATAAGATGACTTCGTGCTTTGTCTGTTCGTCACTTTTTTTTTTTTTATTTTGCTTTCCATTTCCAATTTCAAATAAACATTTTGGAATGCGAATCACGTGTCATTCAATTTTCACATACGATACTGCTCCCTGTTCCATTTTCTTCGCAAAGTGACGTGTCAAGTTAAACTTCATTTAACTTTACTTTCTTCTGAATGCTTGTTCGTTGCTGAAATGTGTTTTTTTCATGTCTTCACATCTTCACATTTTCGTGTATTTCCGTGAAGGTAATTACAGACGTAATTATAGATGTTGTCCCAAATACAAATGTATGTTTATTCAGTTACAGTTTCGTTATTTCTGAAAATTTTTGCTTTATACAAGCAGTAAAGATTTGGTTTTGCATCGAGTATTGCGTATTGATGAATGTTATAATTCAAAGTCTCTCCTTCATTTCGATAAGCTGCAATCAATTTCCATTTAGATAAGCCGATCAGCAAACTTAAGAATTATTTTACTGTATACCTTTGAGCTAAGAATTTGATATCTTATGGATGGAATATAATAGTAAAATGATTGATGTACTTTATTTCTGGGATGGAAGTGATTTTGGCTGATACCAGCGAGCGCTAGAAAAGACTAGACAAAGAATTCGATGGTATGAATTAGTGATGATAATGGGGTGTCAGCTGATGATGACGAATTATATAGATGACAGGAGCTGAGTTGAAATATTACAAGGAATTCGATGGTATGAATTAGTAATGATAATGGGTGTCAGCTGATGATGACGAATTATATAGATGACAGGAGCTGAGTTGAAATATTACAAGGAATTCGATGGTATGAATTAGTAATGATAATGGGTGTCAGCTGATGATGACGAATTATATAGATGACAGGAGCTGAGTTGAAATATTACAAGGAATTCGATGGTATGAATTAGTAATGATAATGGGTGTCAGCTGATGATGACGAATTATATAGATGACAGGAGCTGAGTTGAAATATTACAAGGAATTCGATGGTATGAATTAGTAATGATAATGGGTGTCAGCTGATGATGACGAATTATATAGATGACAGGAGCTGAGTTGAAATATTACAAGGAATTCGATGGTATGAATTAGTAATGATAATGGGTGTCAGCTGATGATGACGAATTATATAGATGACAGGAGCTGAGTTGAAATATTACATAGCACCGATTTTGCAATCAGTCTAGACAGGTTGTAGCTCTCCTGATTGGTCTTCCCATTGTACTTTGTACTCAGCTGTCTATTTACTCATTTACTGCTGTTTGCAATGGGCAACAATTATCCCCACTCGAGTTACTCAACAATCTATTATTTATCATACGCCCACTCACTCCAAACAATTTTCAAGTGTCATATTTGGTCTAGAGTTAGTTCCGCCCTATTATCATACACTGCAAAGCATTTATAAAGTGACGATAAATCAGTCTTCACATTACGTTACCTTCCGTTATTATTGCTATTTTATGAGTAAAATGTCATCCATCGAAAGGTATGATAATTTATTTCTTTATTTGTTTGATATTGACTCTCTGTTTGTTTGAAAAGTCACATGAAAATTTTGAAGTTGGTTATTCTGGGAAATATTTCTTTAGATTCATAAAATGTGGAGTTCAGGTTAATAACATTAGCTTATGTTTGCATCAGTTAAATTTCCATTAGTTTTTTCTGAGACCGGAAATGAGTCGATAATTCTGTGAGCATTACAAAGGACTGGGTATGCTGAAAGATCTGGAAATGAGAGGTTTTAAATAAAAAAGGGCGTAAGAGAAGTAGGCCTGGTTTCTTAGAAAAAAAGCTTTAATAAATTCATGTAAGTGGTTGAGAATTGATTACATGAAATAAATGATGTCAAATCTTTTTCTAATTTTCAGTTATTTATCCGCACAGATATTGGCTGCTAAATCAATAACCGATAATGTTTATGATGGAATTGTTTATGTTTCTCATTCGCTTTCGGAAACTGCAAAATACGAAATCCTGAAACCACTGTTACCAAGCATTACTGCTTACTCTGAGGTTATATTGAAACATTGTTTCCTGAATACCATTCTGTTTAAATTGATTTTAGAAATATTTTATCTAGTTTAATGTAATTTATCTAGTTCAATTATTTATAATTACAGTTTTCTAAAAATACAAAAAGTTCCCATCGATGGCTCACAATATTCTTGAAATGTGTTATGCTGGAATTTTCTAAATCAATACATTTAATGTCTAAATTCTTTCAGATCCATAAAGATATCGAAAATACTACTACACTGATTGCAGTCGATAGAAATGTTGTTCCGTCTAGGAAGCTGATTTTTGCAGGAACAGGACCAGTTAATCGCGATCACGATGACGTGCGCCGTTTCGGTATAGCTGCTCGAAACGGTATGAAATTGTAAGTAAACATATTCCGTTTAATTATGAAAATGAACAAATTTTATTATTCCTGGTTAAACTAGGGGGAAAAAGAGTCATTAAATGGAAGGGAAGTTTAATGGAAAATTAAAATTAAAATTTATTTGAACCAGAACTTCTTCACAATTCCTTTCTTATATCGAAATGGTATAAAGAAATAAAATATATTGCACCAATGATTGCTGTTGCAGAGCTTTGAAAACTGGCATGAAAGCACCGTTAATTTTAACTTTACCACATAAGAAATACCCACAGGCAGAGTTAGTATCAGCTCTTGGCATAATGCATGAACTCTATATACCACTGAATGTACGAGAAGAGAAAAAAACCAAAGTCAGCGTTGTCGGTTTCTGTGCGCTCGATTATGATCAGGAGTTAAGTTCTAGGTTTTTTTTAAATAGTTGAGGAAGTGAGTGTGAAATTTTTGTTATGTATTTCGAAGAAGTATTTGCAAAAGCAATTAGATAAATTCTATTCAGCCACCTTAAAGCCATTTTCATGAGTCATTTTGATTATATTGCCTTAACCATTCTTTACTGCGGATGTAAAGGTTTTAGAGTTTTTATACGAATTTTTAGACGCTAATGAAATTAGTAAAAGCACTTGATGCATCATTTACGGTTTGTCGCGATATTGGCGATTCTGATCCTCAAAGGATGTCACCACCTTACGTCGCAGAGTATGTTACTAATGCATTTAATGGAACAAACATCAGCATTCGTATAATATCTGATGTCACTGTAAGTTTGAATAATTGTAATACTGAGAATGCTGAGAAATGATTTTCGTTTAATATAAAGACGGTAAAGGCTTGGAATTTTAACATAGTTGATTGAACTCGTTTGTATTAATAAGTCAATATGCCTCGATTTTTGTTAATTAGTTTTTGAATTCATAAGTTTAAACTTTTAGGAAATTGAACGCGAATTTCCACTTATGGCAGCTGTAAATCGTGCAGCAAATAATGTCAAAGATCATCAGGCACGTCTAATATGGCTTGAGTACAATCCAGAAGGTTCTTGTAACGAGACGATCATGCTTGTGGGCAAGGGTTAGTTTTGAGACTTTAGATAAATAAATGATTGATGAGTCATGAGTTTTTTAAGGTGTTACAATAGATACTGGTGGCGCTGATTTGAAAACGGGTGGAAACATGTTTGGGATGTGTCGCGACAAATATGGTGCTGCAGTTGTTGCTGGTATTTTCAAAGCTTTGGAAATTTTGAAGCCAAAGCATGTTAAGGTTAATTCATTTGATAGTTTTGAGTCAGGTAAATGGAGAAATATCTTGAGATGTACTGTTTTGTAAACCAATGCCAATATTTCAGTAAAACTAAATTTACAGTTTTGTGGCTACATGTGCATGGTCCGAAACAGTATTGGTTCGAGCTCTTATACATGTGATGAAATAATTCGTTCACGTAGTGGTAAACGTATTGCAATATATAACACTGACGCGGAAGGTCGTATTACGATGCTTGATCCTCTGACAAACATGGTTGAGTTGGTAAGATATTAAATCATAACATCATTGGATTTAAGCACACGAAATTATTATGTACATTCCTTTTACTCAACTCCTTTTCTTGCTGCATACTAGTCAAGTTAATAGTTTCATGTATTTGGAACTCGTTCGGCCTGTGTTAGAGTTTGAAATTCCATCCTTTAAAGAAAATTTCACTCATTTCAAACTTTTAATTATAGGCCAAATTAGAGAAGAAGCCACGATTGTTCACATTGGCTACACTGACTGGTCATTGCATACTGAGCTACGGCTACATGGCAGCGGCAATAGATAATGGTCCGGCACGTGTAGATCATACCGCTGAAACAATTCGTGACTGGGGTGATGTATTTGGACAACCCGTTGAAGTATCGCGGTTACACTGGGAGGTGGAATTTTTAGGATTTAAAACAGAATTTTCAATTAAAGCTGTGCAGTTACGAACGAAAAACTGATCTTCCAGTCTTCCATGTTTAGTTTTGGATTTTCCTTCAGAATACTAAAGTTTTGTTCTTCCAATTTAGCACGCTTTAAAACGGTGATATCGACAAATTAAAGTATAAAAATAAGAGATGCATGGGGGATTTCTGCTTCCAGGACTTTGATTTTCACGAAGCTGAAAGTGAGGCAGCAGACATACGACAATCAAACACATTACCATCAGTGAGAACACTACGTGGTCATCAAGGGCCAGCTGCATTTCTTTTAAAAGGTTCAAGACTGGATGAACATGGATGTGACTCAGTGACTCCTATTGCGTAATATTTTCTTTCTTTTAAGAAGTTTGATTATTAAACTAGCTTTCCATACTTCCTTACATGTTCAATTTTAGAAGAAAGGTATGAGTAAAGCAGCAGTGTAATCATTAATGAAATGTAATACTTCAGGGCTTGTAGTACTTGTAGTAACCTTAGATAACACTTATAATTGTATGTTTGTAGATATACACACATTGATATGGGTGCTTGTATGGGATCACATCCTAAAGTGAGTTATCCCAATCCATTACTGGCGCTGGTTGCAACGTTAGTTTTCTATATCATTTTGAAAAAATATAAATGTTTTCATTTCATTTCCACTTTTATACTTTTCTTGAAAGATTTTATATTTTTCTTGGAAGAAACTTAGAATCGTGAAATGCTATGAACTGCAAAATATTAAAATGAAGAAAACCTTGTTTAATCATCGTCTAATCAAATCTTAACCAGTATAAATATAAATAAATGAGTATTATTTTTTTAGAAGATCGATTTCAGGTACATCTTTCCTCATATCAGTTTATCGTTCAAGATGTGAGGACATATAGCGCTATCAATGCTCCTACTTCCTTGTTGCTTAACTTTTCATATCATTTTCGTTTTGACAAAAATAAAGGAAAAAAAAACGCATGAATGAGCTGTGGATAACACGTGCACAGGAATAATCATTGCACATCTAGTATCCATCTTCCATTATACTTCAGCGGCTTTCAACAATAACGAGATTTCCATAAAATGCCCAAGACAGCATCATTATGCAAACAATTGATTGTATTAGGAAGCAGACCTGCAAATCCAAGAGGCCTAAAATTTTCTCAATCCTTCACAAACAACTAGTTATGAGTACAATAAATAATCCAGTGGACAAACTTACAGCTGTCCCGACCATCAACCGATAACTTTCATAACGGCTCCAGTCACTCCTTTCCAATAAGAATGACACCGCAACAATTAGCGAGCAAATTGCGAGCACTGTTAAAATTGTATTCACTATTATCTCCTGCAAAACGAGAAATGAATTATTCTACTTCTTGGAATTTAGCAATAACGTGTTCTTCAAAACTTCTAACTTGGAATTTATTGTGACCAGTACTAAATACTTAGGATATAAAGTTTAGTGGGGGTTGAGGTACAGTTGTTTAATTTTGGGACCGTTTCACTTGAAATTTGAATGTTTCACCCAATTTCAATAGGGAAAGTGGCTAATTGCCAAAAGACAATGTTGATTGATGACTTCCCATTGTTTCTCCTTTTGTTTCTGAAAAAATGCCAAAAAGGATTTTAGTAATACAGGGAATTTCTAATGTTCACTTGTTCGATAGTATTTAATTTTTTTCGTCATCTGTATGTAACATATGAAAACGATGGGGACAATACTATAAGGTAAGAATACAAAGCAAGATAAGTCTTAAAAACATTTCAATAGGTTTTCATAAAATACTTTGACTTAATTATTACTTCCAAACTTTTTTCGGGGAGAAAATTTTTTTTTTTTTTTTGAACATTTTTAATGGAATCTGGAACAATGTGCTGAACTCCTGGCGCCAAAGATCCAAACAAACGCAAAATAACCGCTACGTTACCCTCAAACTTCGGGGGATTGACTTTCTAAGTCCTTCTAGAGTATTCCCGGTTAGAAGAATGCTTATTTTTCATCTTTCTTATACTCCTATATACTCAATATATAGTGAGCCACCATATGATGCCATACGTTTTCTTTGCTTAGCTCATTAAAAATGAAAACGCTTTTATTTTTCTCTATAGACTAAAGCTGATTCGACAATCAGCTTTAGCCCACAAAACTTCCACGTCGATTTCCTGATCTAACATGAAATATAGCTTTTTAATATATCCTATATATCTTCCATATTTTTAACAGTTATTTTTACGATGCGCACTTATTGCTACAAATGCAAAAAACTTAAATTACTTCATAGTGATGCATAAAAGCAATCACTGTTACTATCACTGCTGTCTACTGTCTGCTATCAGCTACGATTACAACACTAACAGCGATTTAAAATGGTACTATTGAAGATGACAGTAATGTGGTAGCAGTATTTGTAGTGATAGTAGAAAAAAATGGGATAATAATAAAATAAGAAAAGTATACTACAGAACCTTAACATATCTGCAACAGAACACTTGCTTATTCATTTAAGCTCACACTTATTCTCCACTTTTCTTTTCACTTCCATTCTTCTTGCTTATATACTTTTCCATTTCATGAACTTTGCTCCCTCTTACCTCAGCGAATTATCACAAAAACTTACAACAGTCCTGATGAAAAATATTTGTTGTAGGACAGAACCAATACTCCATCCAAGTAACAATCCACAAGTAAGTGCGATAATAATGTAAGTTGTGGAGTAACTTGCACGAACACCCTTGTCTTGTAAATAAACTAGTAGTATTAAAACCAACGCAATGATCTAAATAAAAATGTTGCTGATTTTATGATATTATACTTCATATATCATATAAAAATATTGAACAATTTATTTATGCTAGTCCATCGGCTTTCTTCAATACGGTAGTTTTTGCAAGAAGCAGTAAAAATCGAAAATAGGATAAAGATAAGTAGAGCTTTAAAGAGTTCCAAAATTTTGTAGGCTAGATAGCTCCTCTAGCAATTAAAACAAGAAACATCAATTTCATCCTCAGTTTATCCATAGCCGATTTCCTCAGTTTGGTATTACGGTTGAACGCGTTATTTGCTTTACTGTCTTCAGTCTACAAAGACACGCTTTCCTTTGGTTCACACCCAACTGATCAAATGATGTCTTAAACTGCTGAAAAGATCAAATTTGAAAATTAGTCCTACTCGAAGTTAAAAACTAACTACAGTAAGTAGTTTAATAACCCAAACAGGAATTGTTGAACTTCGAAAACCAGTCGTACGAGTTGTCGTGACAGTTGTCCGGCTTACGATCGGCATTGCCTATGGTGAAAGTATTGTACTGAAATACTATTTTGGGCATGATAATGCTGAATGTACAACTCTGTCACTCTACTCCATTACTTATTAACATTCCTAAAAGTTATAAAAGTTTTTCTTCTGAAAAAAAAGCTGGAAAAGGAATAAAATCATAGACACTAAATTAATACCATATCCGGAAATCAATCAGTTATGATGACAAATCTATGATAAATCCACTATAATGGCTTCCGAATTAGGTTATGCTTTCCGAAGTCCTAACAAAGAAATTTACGCAAAACAGTGATAAGTAAGAGCAGCGAAAGAAGAAATACACTGCACTAGTTAAAAAAGAAATAAAAGAAGTATAACTTTAAAGAAAGCGGACTGTTGCGCCCGAAGAAGTAACAGGTGCTTTTATCAGAAATTCGACAAGGAGCAATGTATATGTGTTGTGGGTTGCGATGAAAATACTTCACAGCAAAACAGCACCAAACACTTCATTGGAAGAAAAGCAGCCAATGAGTCAGTCACTGCAGTTGTACAATGGATGTACTAAAGAGAAAAACATTGGGCAGAAGCTCTTAATTCAATTAAAAGTTGTCAGCCAAATAATGAAAATAATTATACAAAGAGATAGATCACTTATTGTTTAGAGCGTTGCCAGAAGTAAACGACTGAACAATTAATCTGTGGGTAGTGACCATTTTTTGAATCGATAAAATGTGGTAAAATAAATAACGCAGATTGGTGATGATTGTTATGAAATCACTCTCGAAGGATTATGTAAAAAATTAAAATTTTATTTTTCCATCCTTTTTTCTTCCATGCTACTTTTCAGATTATTTAAAGAATTGAAGTCTTCGAAAGATTACTTTCATCAGAGGATTAAACAAAAAAGAACAAAGGAAAGATGGTGCTGAACGCTAAACGATCGATTTATGCCTCACAATATGGGAGCCAAAGTATCTTACATATCTCTTCCCTCAGTTATAAGTGGTTAATGAATTGAAGAAGAGCGCCCATTGATCTCTTTTCCTCTTCTCTCCGTTGGCGGTAATAACCAAGGATATAACCACTAATTCAGTTCAAGATAAATATTAGAATCTATCATGATTTACTCATCAAGCATCATCAAAATAAAATTTACAAGTCAAATAAAGAAAGGAATGAGAAATACTTTTGGCAGGTTTTTCTTTCTTTCCTTGTTTCTCTATAATTTGTTGATTCGCTTTTCTCATATATTCATGATAATATTAATAGAAGAATGATGCGTACATTATTAGAGGGTTACGAGATAGCAATTGTTTTCAAGAAAAGTACGACAAAACGGGTTTTATCTCACCTGTATGTGTGAGATGACATAGCTGAAAAAGACTAAATAAGGGAAAAGGAATGAAAGAAGTTTGTAAAAATATGTTGCAGTGGTGACATTAAGGAAAATTTCAAAAATGACTTTCATTAAATTGGAAAAATCAGATTGATATAGAAGAATTAACATATTCTGAAGTCGAGAAACAATATCAGAAATTGGATTTTCACGTATTATTTTAATGATTTCTCTACGCTTTTCAAAAACTCTACACTCATTTTATGTATGTGTCTTTCCTCATTTTCATTTTAGAACAGAGAAAAGAAATACAAAATTGAAATGAATAAAAGCAAAGAAATCAACATACAATATATCCCCCTCTCCTTCATTCCATTTCTGAAGCTTATGGATCATAGCCATTTCTTCCTCGTGAGATTCATTCTTGACATCCTTCTCCTTCGGTTTACACATGGAGAGTCTAACTATTGCTAATGTTGCAAGCTCCCATACAGAGTTGAACAATATCATCTGAAGCTGATATTGACATAAGAGAAGCGCTGAATTTCTAAAGCATACATTTCTAACCTACTGATCAATTGATCAGTCGTAAAAGTTCTCATTTCTCAGATATTCCGCTAAAACTTATACAAGTTCCTCTTCCTTCATCTTTCTTATCTTACAAATTTCTCTCATATTTCCACCAATAAATGTGTTGTTTCAAAACTGAATTTAAGCACAATTCAATTCGTAATTTTTATTTCTGTCTAATTTATTTCAATTAGTTTAGTGCAAAACTGACAAACATTTACTTCTATGCAATAATAATAGTATATAGGAATAAGAAATTATCAGAAATGAATGAAGAAGGAGGAGGAAGAGGATCGGAGTGAATTACAAGCAGACGAACCCGAATATATCAATTTGCTCAATTGCCTCTAAGTCTTCTGCGCATTTCTCTCTTCTTCTTCTTCTTCAGAATGCAGCAACAGCTGTTCCTTCCTTGCGGAAACAGACTTCCTCAATTACATGTCACATGTCACATCAGCTGATGACCTTCATGCTTGTGCAGCTATCTGCAGCGCTTTCTCCTCCGATTATTGATTATGCAAGCATCCACTTGGGTTTACGTATTGATCACATATTAATTGTTACTGTGCTTTTGAGTCAAATCAATTCCTTATTGTTTCCATTTCTTACATTCGCTGATAACTTAGTTACCGATAAATGGTTGGAATAGTTTATGAGACAGACTTCCTCAATTACGTAATGATGTTTTCATCACTGAATGCTCTGTTTGGAAAAGCGAAGAAAATAATTTCACGATTTAGCATGACATAAATTTTATGTTGAAAAGTTTTGAGTAAATAAAAAAAAGTTCAACTTTAACTTAAGATTAAAAGATTTCAAGTGTGAGTTCCTACAATTTTGAGCTTCAGGTCAATAATTCACACTATCAGAATTGAACTGGAAGTGATTCCGTCTCGCAACATCTCTCTCCCTTTTTTTCCCTTCGACAGTTCTTTCCCTCGCAAACGTTTCAATAACTAAGGAAGAGTGACTGAAGCCGTAAGACTAAATTGTATTTTAGTCATTTTAGTTTGCTTCGAACTTTGTATTAGAAATACAAGAAATTTCTTATTTCCAGTTTTTGAAACATTTCTCGTTACTCCAAACCGAACTTTTTGTTTTTATTCATTGGAACAGTTATTATCTTTTATTTCTCTTGTAATGGAAATATAGTCATCCGGGAGTATGAGGTATCCTTATTTCACGTGATTCGTACTCACCTTAAAATCTAATCAAAAATTAACCATTCCCAGCTATAAATGTTGGTTGATACCTCATACTCCCTGATGACTATATTTCCATTACAACCCGTCTGTCACTCTTTGGGATGAAGTTATTGCGTCTTGTTATCATTGTGCAAATTTTCATTATTAGTTGAAGTGCTTGAACTTACGGTTATTTTCGAATGTATGTTGGAGTGTTAGGTCGTAAGTCTTCTCAGAATTTATTATTTGAGATTTGAATATATTATTTGAAATCTGAGCAGAACTATGAACGATATAACAGAATCCTTTTTGGTAAGTTTGTACCAGCAAGTAATGGTTAAGAACGATAGAAATTGAAAGATAATGAAGATCGGAAGTTATTTAAAAATATCATAAGAGCTAAGATTTTAAAGTACACAAAAATGACATATCGATAATAATTTTGCTGATGTCCTTTTCAAAAACTTTACTTATTCATTCTTTTCCTTCAAATTCTGATTCAAGGTTGGTGAGGTAAGGCATAATGTACAGAGAAAGAATCGTATGAAAGTAATATTTGTAGTGGATAACCAATTAATCCAGAACTTCATAATAAAACAGAATCATGGCCTTTCTCTTCTTCAGACTTCAGATGAATATTTGTTAGCGTTAACTTTTCATTAATTTCTAAACTGGGATGTCTGAATTCATTTCTCAAGAATTGATGGTTACTAACGATCAAATATAGTAATTATTTCTTGGTTTCTTGGTCGGAGGACTAATTTATTCCTTAAATATGTTGCAGACATGCGGCATTATTCTACAAGGAGAGAGTAATATGGCTTGTAGTACCATTCAGCATTTTGAAAAACATCTGTGAGTTCAATTTCGCAACATCTGTCAGCATTCCCTTCTATTCTACACATCCAGTCTCTGGCGATTTTATTAAAAACAGTGGGTTTCTGTTGTTAAAGCAGTTATTAGTGTTTGTCCATACCAATGAATAAGGTAAAAATATACTACTAAATTTCAGATGAGTTTAGATGTCATTAAACGAGCCGATCCAACAGATGATTACGAGTTGTTACAGAGAGTAGGTTCAGGTACATATGGCGAGGTTTACAAGGCTAAACATATCAGGTCATACGTGTTATTTGTATAATAAATCTCAACTCTTTTACTTTTACAAGTTTAAAAATTAATGAAAAGTAAGCCAAAAATTCAAAAATCTAGATGTAATTAAATCACATTGAAGTTGTTCTGATAGCTGTAATTTAACCTTATTTCGCTGATTTGTCAGCCCTGACTAATTTTCGAAATATTTTACAGGACAGGCGAATTATCTGCAGTGAAGGTGGTGAAACTGGAAGCTGGTGATAATTTCGCTGTTATTCAGCAAGAAATTTTGATGATACGTGGTTGCGTGCATCCAAATATAATTGCATATCATGGCAGTTATCTGCGTCGTGATCGGCTATGGATTGTTATGGAGTATTGTAGTGGTGGCTCGCTTCAAGACATTTATCACAGTATGCTGTTACTTTGCCTTGCTTTAGAACTTTTGAAATAACTGATGTTGATAAGGGGATGTCTATTTTGCGAATTATGTCGCAAGTGTCGTCACCTTTAATTGAAATAACATTTGACGTAATTTAGTTTTTCAAAATAGAGCAGTATGTCTTTCGCATTTGAACTTCATTCTCGGCAATAGCAACCGAGATAGTACACTTTCGTGTCGTAGTAATAAACTAGGATTCTTATTATTTCAGTCTCTTTTGTAGCATGTGCATATGAAATTAAAAGAGGACAAATTCATGCTACAATTGAATTTGAATAATATGAACAATATTTTTTCGTATTTGGGATTTGAAAGGGTATTACTGAAAATCCTACCTTACATGAAGATTTTATAAAAATTTCTTTTAAGTGACTGGCCCTCTGTCAGAGCTACAAATAGCATTTGTTTGTCGTGAAACGCTGAAGGGTCTTCACTATTTGCATTCGAAAGGTATGGTACATCGGGACATAAAAGGAGCAAATATACTGCTTACCCATTCTGGTGATGTGAAACTTGGTAAGTGGTACTTTCTAGGGTTTATGAGAACATTGATTTCAGAAATTGATGTTTGTTGAACTTTAGTTCGTGTCTTTGTTCAGCTGATTTTGGTATTGCTGCACAAATTACCGCTACTATTGGGAAACGGAAGTCATTCATCGGTACTCCTTATTGGTAAGTAATATATTTTCAGAAGTTTATGTAGTTCAGGATTAATTTATTTGCTTATTTTACCCTAATTTTTGGGAAATTCTGTTGTACCATCCTTATTAGGATGGCACCAGAAGTAGCATGTGTGGAACGTCGAGGCGGTTATGGTGTGGAATGCGATGTTTGGGCCATTGGAATTACAGCAATTGAACTAGCTGAATTGCAACCACCACTGTTTGATTTGCATCCTATGCAAGTTTTGTACCTTATGACGAAGTCGTCTTATAAATCACCAACACTTAAAGATAAATATAAGTGGTAAGAACTGTATTTACAATTCTTATTTACTTTTATCTTGATTTGAATGAAGTTCGGATCGAAAGTGTTCCTGTCAAAAAATAAATTTATTGCCTTATCTCTCAATGTTGTAACCACTTAATGTAACGCCCACAAGATTTGCGTGATTGCTATTCCTGATCACAATTTTGAACCTGTCTTCTAAAGGAGACTTTTGACAATTGTTAGCATTTTTTAGATAATTCCATTTGTTATTTGCAATCTTGGTAATTACTAATGAATCGTTTGAATTAACATCTTGAAGTGTCTGTGTCATTCTATTTTATTCTCACTTATGTTTTCCAGGTCACCATTTTTCCACGATTTTATTAAACAGTGTTTAACGAAAAATCCGAAAAAAAGACCAACTCCAGAAAAGCTCTTAGCCGTATGGTTTCAGAAATTATTAAGGAAATCATTTTTTGTTGCTCTGCTGCGGAAAACTTTTAGTTTTTGCAGGTTTTTACAGTTATGTTCAAATCCAGATTAGAACTCGTTCCTTATTTCAGAGTCATCACTTTGTTCTTGGAGCGCTTTCCTCTCGAATGACTCGAGATCTGCTGGATAAAGTTAACAATCCTGGCGGTATCTCCTCCGCTTCCGTATTTGTTAGACAGGTTTCTGCAGTGTATGCGGATGAAGATGAAGAGGTTTATCTTAAACAGTATTTAATGCTGTTTGTATTCATTTTATGGTAATTAATGAACTTTAATAATTAATGAACTCTTTTCTTTGCATTATGATCACTTTTCTGTTGCTTATTCAGGGCGAAATATTGACAATATCGAGAATTAAATCACGTGGTCATGCATATCCTCGTGCTGCGCAAGATGCAATACGTGTATGTGACGATGCAAATGCACTTATGGCACGAATTTGGGGAGAGCCATCAACTTCAGAAGTCTCCATATCGAATTTAGGTCGACATTATCACGAGGCCCGTTTTTCATTACAATCGGAAGTTGAAGTATGCAGTTATAACAACATATTTTGTATAAGGTCAATACATGTGAATTTTTCATCTATATTTAAGGATCGCACACTCCCTGCCAAAGAACATCCGCCATTACCAGATGTTGTGCAAGCGTTATCGTTGCTTAATGATAATGATGGTGTTATACATGACACAGATGATGGAACCTTGTGTTCATCAGAACAAATTAATGGTAATGTTTTTTAACGTGCTTCATTTAATTGTGTATTTTTGTTTATTAACTATGGTATTTGTTTATTTCTGGTTCATGACGTAGTTATCGATGGATATCTAAAAATTCTGTTCAGTCATTTTTTCACCCTTATTACTCCCTATTACTTATAAGAAACTTTCATATTCATCCATAATACCATTTCAGGTTCTTCGGGTTCGGATTTTTTTATGCCTCAACGTCCACCACGTACTAAACAACCAATAAAGCGATGTTCATCACTCGAGTCACCACATTCCGATCCATATCTAAATGAGCAAGTTAGACATCGGGTTAATGGGTGTTCAAGTTATGTTCTTCAACGACCTCAGACCTGTTTCGGACTGCCACCGACACCAAAGGTATTTCCCTAAAGTATAAATGCAAACATATGCTGCTGATTTATTAAAGAAATTCTTTATGAAGAGTCTATTTAATACGTTTTAAAAAACTTCCATAAATCCTATGCCATTTAAAATCTATACTTGTATAGGTCGCGATGGGTGCATGTTTTTCGCTTATTTTCCATGATTGTCCATTACATATAAATAGCACCGCAACATGGATTCATCCGAATACTTCACGACAATTTTTGCTGATTGGTGCAGAAGAGGGTATTTTCACATTGGACATGGATGAATTGCATGAAGCAGCAATGCTTTTGATACACAAACGACGCTGTTCATGGTTGTATGTGCAGAAAAATACTTTGATGGCCGTACAAGGTTTGATTTTCCTTTCAGTTTTTAAGCTTGAAAATGGATTTGGAGAAATGCATAGTTATATTTCGATATTGATGATGTTTATTCGTGAACAATGTAAGTCGAATATGCTGTGCAGAAAATTCATTTAAATGTTTGCTAAGTCTTTGAAATTTATGAGATAATATTTTAGGGAGAACTCCCTATCTTTACCGTCATGACTTAGTTGCTTTATCTCAGCGAAATCTTACACAAAGAATATCAAAACCAATGAATAAGATTCCTGAGAAGTACCTACCAAAGAAACTTGCTATAACAACACGCTTACCTGAAACCAAGTATGTCTTTGTAAGATTTATGTTGATTTATACTGAGCTTTTCATTTTGTGTTTACAAGGATCTGTGAACATCTTGATGTTCTCAAGTAAATTGTAACTAATTTATAGAGACGTTATCCATTGCAATGTAGCTCGAAGTGGTGTAAATGGTAATGTATATCTCTGTTGTGCAACACCATCTGCTGTAATATTATTCCAGTGGTACGAACCACTGGCTAAATTTCTAATACTGAAGACAGTTGAAATGCGCATTCCTCATTTCCCACTTCGACCTTTTCAGTTGATATATTCTGCCGGGACAGATGCTGATTTTCCAAAAGTATGGCTTTAAAAAACTTTGTGAAGCATTTTTTTAAAAATATTTTTATGTTTTTATTCGTAATAAGCAACTACATGCGTTTAAAGATTTATGCATTATCTGCAGGTTTGTTTGGCAGTATACAAGGGGGTAGGACATAAATTTCACCTTCATTATGTGAATTTTAATGACGAAAGTGTGCATTGTGACTTGGATGGACAAGATCGAACAGAAGCTGTTTGTCTTAGCGTTGTCGCGTTAAAACAAGTTGAAAGGGTGGGTTTTTTTTTTTTTTTTTAAATGCAATATTTTGAAATTGATTGATGCTACTCAAGAGCAGTGTTCATAAGAGTCATTTATGAGTAACTTGTAGTAAAAGTGTTTGTTTCTATGAGAAAAACATTGCTTTTTAAAGCGTATTTTGTTAACCTGCATTTGAAGTTCACGGTGTCTGAAATTTGTTTAGGATGCATTGTTATTGTGCTATGAAAATCGATGTGTTGTGATCAATCAGATAGGAGTTGTTAAATCGTCTCGTCTCTCGCCAGCACAGTTCAAATTTGGTTTTCAAATTGAAAATCTTGTTTCGCTTTCAGATTCAATTCTTGCTTTTTATCCACATGGCGTACAGGTATTGAAATTTGAAATATTCATCTCTGATAGCGATTAGTAAAATTGGCTTGTAATAAAACAGTAAAGTGAGGAAATAATTATGATAGGAAGAGTAGAAATTGTAGAAATGATAAAGAAGTCAGAAATTTCAGGGTCGTGCTTTTGTTGATGGCTCAATTACGCAGGACATTAATGATCCAAACAACATATATCAAGTTGTTGGGAGTGATAAGTTAGTTCCTGTGGAGTTTATATTGATAAGAACTATATACTATAAAATGTTCTGACTTTCGAATTTAATAAGAATTATTATTGTTTTGTCTTTCGTTTAAAAAAAGCTTATTATTTACACTAATTAATTGGGTCTCCAGACTGCTAAAGTAAAGTATTTACATTTCCAGATTGGTGGTTTTAAAACGGAGAGAAACATCTGCAGCCGGAGATTTATGTGATTTATGCATACTAACTGGACATGAGAGTACTTTGGCTGGCTAATGTCTCCTTATTTCAAACTAGTTTGGCCGTTCTAGCTGAAAAGTAAAAGTCCTGATATTTTATGATTTTTTTATTACTAGCTTTTTATTTCAACAATTATTCAGCCGTGTTGTATTATCCTTGGTCAAAAAGTTATGGTAATTAAAGGTAACTAGTATATCTGTACGATAATTTCGGATAAAGTAAGTAAATTTCGCGCAAACTTGTTAGATTTTCAAAGTAACTTTGGGTTAATCTAATTACAAAATTCACTGTGTAACTGAGGTCTTTCATTGTTGGTATATATTTTACTTTCGAAATTGTCATTTTCTCTTCTTGTACTATTGTCGTCCTTGTGGTAGTAAATATCGAAATGTAAGCATTGTGATAATACTCGTTTCGTGTTATTTATTCGGTTATCTTGAGAGTTTGAATAAAGTTGTTAAGTACTACAAAATAACAGAACTTTCGGTTGGGATCACCAGAACTATGAAACTTGCGGTTTATTAACTGAATTTGGTGGCATTCCTTAAGAGCATTCTCTCTGCTGCCAAGTATCTTGTTACATTGGAGAATCTTTTCAAATATCAGCTCTGCTTGTATTTTATTCGTTTTCATCCCTTACTTTGGAAACTTGCAATTCTCTATCTTACCGCATGTTTGGGATGTATTCATTTATTGTTAACTTTGTGCAACTTTGTCTCTTTCAAGCGTACAGTTTTTGATTTGGATTTTCTATGGAAATGAAGATTCAGGTGTAAAGGTCAGTTTTCGAAGTAACTGTCCAGGATGAGATTGAACCATTATCCGTCCAGTATTACTATGGTTGGAATTCGACTGATTGATTTAACAGCACTTTAGACCTGCGGTTAAACACCAATACTACAATTAACCAGTTCTTTCCTTTTATCTTATTTTTTTGTTGGAAGTTCTTATTTTATAAGCGATCGTTGTCAGTGTTCATTGTTCTTTATGCTTTAGTATGAATTATTTCAAACAGTAGCATAATGCTTCATTAAATCTGAATGGTTTCAGCTCACAATTTTGAATATCGTTGAAACCAAAAGTATCTGGAGGAGTTCAGTGTCAAGATTTCAAAGTCGGTTTAATTATAGTTTTTTTTTTTTTTTTTTTTTAACGAATATATGAAATAAGAAAATAGAGCAACAGAGGTTATTCCACCTGCTATTGGATTATATCCATATTTGTTCAACATTTTAACTGTTCTCGATGTTAGTGGATGAGTTGAGGATTTTCTACCATTTGCAAAAGACTATTTAATGGCTGGTGAATTGAGTCAGCTGCTTGAATGAACTCATATTGAAAGGCGAACGTAGAAAGTATGCTCTGCTCTTTCCTCGTGTTTCAGTAAATTTCCTGGATATAGCTAGGGATTGATTTATAATGAAATGTAAGGTATGGATATGAAAAAAGTGCAAAGACACAGTGAGAACAATATTTACAAATATGAATTCAAGTACTTCGGGTGTTAAAACTACTAAGTTAATAAATTATTATAATTATACCAACTTGTAATTTATTATTGGTCAAAACTGCTCTAGAAAGAACAGCGAGATCATTTGGTCCTGAAGAGAAGTCCCGTATATCCGTACAGATCAGATAAATTTAATAAATTTCAAGCTAACATGGGAAGGACTAGATTTAAAAATTCTCTATCTGGAACATGGGGAGGTAATAGCTGTGAGCTTCAACTTCAAAACTGAGTAATACAAAATCTAATGTTTGCTCTGTAAAGTATGATGACGGCGAGCATAAATAGTGCCAAAAATAGCAATAAATGTTATTAATAAGCTAAAAATAGACCAAACAGACATTGGGTGATCGTAAGCTACTACTGAAAGTAATATAGAAAGTATCTGCCGCAGTGTCATCATCACCGCAAATATCACAGGCCCAAATCGTTCAATAGTTGTGTAAATTACAATCTGAAAAGAAGTTCACGATATTAAATCCTCAAAAAAATATCAGGGATCCAAGTCCTTCTAATGAAAAGATTTATTAAGGAGATTATGGATCCGCAGAAAATAATGAAGTAACTGCATTATGTTATGGATAAATCTGGAGAGGACGTGGTTTTTGAGATCGTATAAAAGTTCTAAATAAGTTACGATTCAGAAATTAAAGAAAAAAATAGAAGTAGATAGAAACTTTCGTTCTCCGAAATATTGAATGAATTATAAAAGTTATGTTTCTATTTTTAGTATAAAACTTATACAGTGACTAGAAATAAATTCGTCCTAATTCATTTTCTCTTTCATTTAAATAACTTAAATGAACCTGTCCTAGAGCACCCGATAAAGACAACAAAAATATATCTCGGGCAAATCCTTTATGAGTTATTAGAAAATGGAATGACGACAGAAACGTTCCTTCCTGGATAAGTGTTACAGAGCACAATATCATGCTGAACACATTCACACCAAACATCATCTAAACAATAATGAGTGAACATGATTGAAATTTAAATATTAAATTTATTCAGAAAGCAGATGATTGTGCTTGCTATGGTAATTTCTCCTTTAAAAGACAAGTCTAATTGCCTCGATTATTTATTTTTCATCTTTAATATCCGCTACAAATAGAGCCCATTCAATTTGTTTCAGTTAAACAACGTCAGTCAATTCGCAACACAAAGAAAATTAAAAAATGTAGCTCATATTAGCCATTATGTCAACTTCAATTAGTGAAAGCTAGCTTGCTCTCAGCTAGTGATTTCATGAATTTTCATTAAAAAAGATTATTTCTTTGAAAGACCTGGTATCTGGAAACTCGTGGCCGAGCATCAAAGAGTTTTTTTTGCCAGTTCAAAGTGAAAGCATCAAATAAAAGATAACCGGACATCAAACAAATTCCAGAAATAGTATTTACATGATCGGAAGATAAAACTGCTATAACTTCATGAAATTACCAGCGATGTCTATATAAATTTGATGCAGATCAACAAAATTGAAGTTTTAAGAAAAAAAAAAAAAAAATATTTCGGCAAACTGATCCATTTTTTTGTTAAGTGTCTTTTACTTATAAAATACGGATAAGAACTCCAAGGCAACTAGCAAAATTCATATCCTTCAACTCGGTTACTTTTTACTTATTACTCTATACACTTCTATTTTCCAGTAAAATGAAGGGAGTTTAACATTTTCTTGTTCTATCCATTCCTTAAAATTGTTGAAACTTCTTAATCATTAGTTTTTTTGCAAACATTTTTTAAAGACGTAAAAACATAACCGTTAGATGTATGTTCCTTAGAGCTATTTGATAGAACAAACAACGTCGCTCCAAACGCAAGCATAATAGTACAAGCGCACTCTCCACATTTATAACGTTCACCTCTGACAATAAAGCCCATCAACATTGTCGGCAACACTTTCGATGCTTTGCACACTGTCTCAAAGCACATTATTTCATTTATTTTGGAAGATTAAAATTTTATCTCTCTGTTTCTGACAACGAGTTCCATTTTTATTGCATTTTTTTGGAATTATAAGTATACAAGGACTTGTAGTTATTTCACAATGATTTATTTTAGTTTCAGTAATTTCTGAAAAGTACCTGAGTTGGAAAAGAAACGAATTTAAGGGCTTCATACTGACACCACGATGAAAGCGTATTAGAAAATGATGTAAATGAATGTTTATAAAACGGTGGAACATGAGGAGGTTCTCTGTAATAAATTAGAAACTTTAAAGCTTCTTCTTTTGCTTCATTTATTTTTATTGATGTAAATTCTTTTCAAATCACAAAAGATTTCGAATAATATTCAACAAAAAATTTCACAAAATTTTCGCTAAGAAAATAAATTATAGAACAACCTTTTCCAGTTCGAAATCAGATAAACTGCACATAGGATAACGGCAAAAACACGATTTATGAAAACAAGAAACTGAGTGTTTTCAAATTTGTTTAGCTGATCATCCACAATTGATAAGTAAGCCTGAAATAAAAACAATCAATTCTTCAGCTTGGTTCTGAAAAATACTTATCTAATTTAGAAATAGGTCATTTCACCACAATGTTTCATCCAACCCATTAATTTTCATTCTTTAGCATAACGCTTCATATAAATCTCCCTACAATTCATGTAAAAAATGTATTTATGATAAAAACAAAAAATTGACACATTCAATTAGAAGTTCAAATTCTCAGAACGAGTAAACTATAGATAAAAGTCATTCAGTGAGCATAAAAACCTGTGTTATAATCCGTTCTTGTATGTAACCCATTAAAATAAGAGTGAATTGAAGACATGAAAAACATAAAATAAGATGAAGAGAGTCATCACGGAGATTTTTTTGCGAAACAATTGAGGTCAATTTTACGGAGTCAGAAATCATCAATCCATACTCAGGTTTCCCAAGCGCAAAGCTGCGTAAAAATGAATAAAACAGTGTTGTGGGCTGGAAGCCATCTTCTAAAAATAAGGTTTTTTTATTAAGTGAATAAATGGTAATAATTTACATTATTTCACCACAATCTGACATATGGATTAATAACAAAATTTCACGAAATATCTCATAAAAAAATGTCTTACCGGCAGCTCTTCGACGAACATAAAAAACCACGAGAATTATAGGGATAGAAATAGTTCCATAACTCAAAAGAATGACGAAAAATCGCATAAGCCAAAAGTCATTTAAATAGAACGTAATCATAACTAAAAAAAACTTTCAAACAATTGTGGAAAAGTCATTAAAATCTGGATGAATGATCGTCTAATTAAAATGCCATGCCAACTTTACTTCCATTATAACTTACATTTGATCATTAAGACTGCATTTCTGGTGGTCAATTTCTTCCTCACTATCATACCGTGTTTTTAGAAAAAAAATTTCTAACAGAAATCAGCCACGAATACAGTCATTTAAACGTGTCTTTTATTAACAAAAAATAGCATCAATGCAGAAAATTAAATTTTTTTTTTCGCATTATTAAAATAACATTACTGTAATTAAGAAATCAGCATGAAGAGGTAAAATGAATATAAAATTGCATACATCGTGACAGATTCCTGTCGGAAATTATTACAGTACAACTCTCATAATGTAACTTATAATATAAACTCTCATAATATCATAAAACGAATAAATGAGTCTTCAATTTTGCTTAAGTAGACACAAGAGCAATTATTTCAGTACCTTAACTCGTAATGAACGGTATCAAATGCAGTTGCCAAATGAGCGAGAATTTTAGTGATACTTAAAAATCCATCTGTTATTTCATTCCTTCTCAAAGAATTAACCACAATCTGAAAATACCACAAGTCAATTCTAACCGTCAATTTCAAGAAGGATTTGAAACATAAAGCAAATAATTGCTTATAATACATATACCTTTTTTCTTTACTGAGCAAAATCTAAATCCAAACAGAATAGCTGATATAACCGTCCTTTTTAATAGATACAAGAGGTAAAAAAAAGCACAATTTACTATACACAACACATTCTAAGTTGTGATTCATTTCAAGTCTGAGTTAATGAAAAATAGTATAATCATGCAACAATTTTAAAAGATAAAAGAATTTACAATCAAACTGAACTCAAAAAGCAAAGCATCCCAACACTACATAAAAAATGCTTCATTCTGAAATGTTTATTCGAATAGTCATTCTAATTTAAAAGTTGTCTATCAAATTCACGTTGAAAACGGCAACAAACAATGGAACGACTCTTTCTACAATTCTTCTAATTAAATGCACTGCATTTATTTGAATCATTAAAAGTGTATCAAATCATTAAAATTCATTAAAAGTGAATCATTAAATGTGAATAATTAAAACAGTCGCCACAGATACCAATCTTTCCTGGACTTTATAATATGCTCTATCTAATAAGACTACTGTAGCCAAAAATCAGTTTTAAATAACTGCTTCGCTTACCAAAAGCATTAACTAGATAAAAAATAACAAAAAACGAGAAACAAAGCCATCATGGTTACTTACCTCAAATTTCTACAATCTATGACTATTTTTCAAAAAGCAAAAAATGACTACCTTCGAGTACAGCCACTTTCTCTTTCAAAAAACCAAGGAATCTCTGAACCAATTCTCCTCTTTCTTCCCTACTCAGTCAATTCACCAGTAATAACAATCATGTTAAAGCATTGATGAATCTGCAAAGCACTTAGATATAATTTTAAACACTTTTTTTTTCTTTGAAGCTTCTCCATTTGAAACAGTGATAGACATGAAAGAACTTTTTTACTGGACTCGTCAGCAAATAGAAGCGACACGAAAAAAATCGATGATACTTATGCCAGCATTACATGCTGCCCTAAATCCTCCCAGCACATGCAAAACAATCCCACTTTGTAATATTTTTCAAAAACCTACCGAACACTTTTATCTCTTCTCTTATTATCTTCACAGAACCACTCAACAGAAAAGGGTAAGCAACCAATATTCACCTGTCATCCTTTACTTTGAATTAAAAAATAAAAATCAGGAATCTAACAAATTCGTCACATGCGGAAAAGAATTTACTAAGTTTTAATTTCAATACCAAGCATCCTTAAATTTTTAAATCCAAAAAAGATCACTTTAACTGATTTTAAATTCTTAAATAGTCCTGCGTTGAAAATATCAAGAGTAAAAATAAAATCTTTATGGGAACAGCACACATTCAACACATACAATGCAATGATTAGAAAAGGTATATAAAAAACAGAAAGAAATTGGTAGTCTTTGGTGCAAAAAATTGAATAAACTCAGGCACAACACAGAAAATTTATATTTTTAACTTCGTTAATATGTTAAAGGTTATACAAAATTATAGCAAGATTTAACTTAAATATCCACTGCACTAGTTTTAACGACAATTTTTGACCAAACACCCGAAACATCCAAGAATAATTTCAATAATCAACTTAAACATTAAAAATTGGAAAAATCACAACTTGCCATTATAAATGTACTAAATCAGTGTATATATGAACTCTCCCTTAATTACAAAAGCCAAAACCAGCAAAATGGGATAAATTTCGTGATTCCTGAAAATTTAATTATAACCAACTTACTACACAGAACAAACAAAAATTAAAATGAAGTGGGCGTAAAACTGCCCAACTATTTTTAACACATAGAAGGAAAGCCGACCCACTACACAAACTCCAATATACAACAGTTCATTTCCTCATAATAAGATATCGACCGCTCACGCTTTATGTTATTTAAAGCTAGAAAGAAAAAACGAAGTCTACTGATATATTACAAAGATTTGTTCGAACAAGAATTTATTTTATCGAATATAACTGGTGAAGAAATTACAAACATATGAAAAAAAAAAAAAAAAAAAAACACAACGAACTCAAAAAGGATGTTCTTTGATTTCTTTTAATACGTATGAAATTTGGTTGATATGTACAGGTTGATATGTACTAAAATAAAACAGTGATTATGAAGATCTCGAGGGCGAAATATGGGAAACAAATGAAACAACCATTAACCCTCCCATGGTTTTTTTGCATTTCTTTGTAGTCACTCAGACTTTTCGGGATTTTAATCCGAATCACTATCTTCTGACTCACTGCTTGATTCAGAATCACCATCCGATGAAGATGAGGAGGATGTCGATATGTCAGTATCTGAATCATCTTCACGCACTTTCATCTCCCTTTCTGTTGGCTCGTCTTTAATATCACTGTCTTCTGCATTTTTGTCCGCATCTTTTTCAACTGACAAAGCTACTTGCGTAAGTTTTTCCTTCCATCTGCGGGCAGCTTCGAATAGCTTCATACTTCCTTTTGAAGCTAAAATAAAAATTATGAAGTAACTGCCAATTTCTGATCGCACTATTAATAAACAGCATATATAAGTATTTACAGTCAAGATTAAATCTTACTTTGTTCATCTGGAAATACATAATCGAAATATTCTTCCCAACCAGCATCTACACCATCTTCTGTCTGAATCTGACGACGCCTTTTCACTTTTTTTGGCATTAAACGAGAAACCTAAGAAATTGTTCCGATGATTCATAAATTCTGTATATATTAAGTAATGAAAATGGAAAATTTTGAAGTCACATTGCGAAGGAAATTCGACGAAATGAATTCTGCTTGGAGAACTAATCATACAAGAAGATACAAATTTAATAGACGATAAGCCTTTTAGTCGTGGTTTCTATCTCATTACGTTAAATATACTGGTATTACGAAAATTCCGCTTATCTCGACAAGGTATAATAATATGCGCACATCAGCAACAAACAAACATGTTCGGACGATGTAAAGGAACTAACGAATGCTACATTCATTAGCATTTTAAAATTAAAGGAATATAATCGTAGTCACAAAGTCTAATAGAACGGTCAACAAGCATTAAGCAAATTAACGAGGGTCTCAATATAGATAAGAAACATACATTTTAAAAACCATTTTGATTCTAAAAACTGTAGAATAAAAACCATGCAAATCTTGAAATCTTAAAGAAAGTACAAATATAAAGCTCGATGGAATGCATAATTTAACCGCCAGTCTAGATTAATTGGCGTAAATATGTTATGTTATAAATATTCTCCAAATCAGTAAAACTGCTTACTGCTGTTACAGAATCCTCGTCACCATATTTGTTTTCAAATAACATCCATGACTCCAGAAGTAACAACCTTTCTTCTTTTTCACTACTTGCTAGATTCCTATTGGCGCGTTCGTATGTCTTCCGTGCGCCACTCACATCACCTACCAATAATTCAAATTCCGCTAAACTTATCCAAACCTGCAATACTTATGAGGCAAAACTTATCCGCGTTATTCTGGAATTTTTTCAAAGCCAGATAACGAAGGTAAAGTAAGATGAGAAATAAAGTTAACTCACATGAAAAAAAAAAAAAAAAAAAAAGAAAATAGTTAAGAAGTTAGAAAAACACGGTTGATAAAAAAAAACTTTTATGTGGTTCGTTCGTTCCAAAAGACTACTATACAACTGACGAGCTCGACCGTATTCCTCTTGACTCACTTCGAAATCAATATAAGCTTTCCATAACACCTACAACAAACCAAAATTGAGATCCTGAAATGTTCTATTTATCCAGTTAAATTTTTCTACTCCAAAATCATTTTTTCAAATTGAAGAAGGGATTTATAAGCTGGCCTCAGGCATGTCTAACGCAGGCTGTTGTGCCGCCAGAGCAAAAATTGCGCGAGCACGATCGACGTCACCAAGAAGCGTTTCCATTTCAGCAAATTTAATCCAAGTATTACTGTTTTCTGGAGCGTATTCAAGAAACTTTCCATACAAAATCCGACATCGATCAAATTCACGCAGTTGCAATTCAAGATCTATATAATTTCGGAAAAGTTTATTTCGAGGACACATTCCAATTGCATTTCCCTGCAACTGTCCATCCATAAAATTTCATCTTTGAAGTAGTGCCTAATCACTTTTCGTATGTAATTATTTATCAATATCTCAAAATTTCACTTCAAAGGTTTTACTTATTTGTTTTCATAGAATTTACTCGAAAACTCTAAAAATAACAAAATCCAATTTCAAATGAAGGATCCTAAAAACACACCATTATTTTACGTGCATCAGATAAGCGAAGCTGACGCACTTCGAAATAAGCAAACATCACCCATATCTTTGAAAAAGTAAATTTTTTATGAGGAATGACTTGTAAGCAAATCCTGTAAACGTCTCGCGTTTTCTCTATGTCACCAATATCCAATTCTTGATAGAGCGCATAATTAATCCATAAATAAATATATCGTCGCCAATATCTGTTCAACAAAAGCTGTGATTTTAATGAAAGTATCGGCTTCGTCTCATCGTTAAAATCGCTTTCAAAATGACATTTTTTTTATATGTTATAAATTTCATGTTTATCAAACATTTTACCTGGACGATTTCCTAATGATTATTATTTGCCTACTGCCATGCTCCCAAAATTGAAAAATCTGGTTTAACATCTCCAACTAAAGACCCTACCGAATTTGCTTTTATACCACATGGTATAGATGCAAAGTATATATAAAATTAAATTATATGGCGTGCATTAAATCGAAAAATACCTTTTTTCAGGTTGCAGAGGTACATTAGCTATCGCTCTCTCAAATGTATCTTCCATCTCTTCGCGATGAATTTTCTCATTTTGCAACAAACGAATGTAATCAAACCATGCATCGTAATTATAGGAATTTTCAGCAATTTGCTGAAACAGATCTAATCATACAAAAACAACTAGTATTTGAATGAAACCTTCGTTCAAAAGCTTATTTTATAAAAATATGATACCAAACACCAACATTTTGGTAACACATTCAAGATCATTTACCTCTTCGTATTGATGACGCCGTTTACTAACAATTACATTTTCGATTCCCGCTCTCTCACCATACTTTTTCTCATGTATGGTATAGAATTTGAATATTTCACCAGCTCGATCAGGTGGAAGATGATCCAGTCCATACCTATAAAATCATAACTACAATAAAATAGAATAAATTCATTTTTAACTTTGATTGGCCTAAAATCAGTCAACAGTAACTACAAGCCTAACACTGATTACTCAACATTAAAGATCAAATCTTCATCTCTTAGCATATGCTAGATAAAATATAAAAATCTAAACTTTTTAAAATGATTAAAGCACCTATAGATAACTCTCGATCTTTCGTGCTCCTTTTGTCGTTCTTCAAACTGAGCAAATGCAATCAACAGTGCTTCATTTAAATTTTCTTCTCCAAAATATTCCAAGGCTCGCTCATAAACCTACAATCAACAATTTAATTCATTATATGATTTTGCTGGTTGTTTGAAACTATAAACCCAACTCCTCATGTAATTTCTTAATGTATCGATTTTTTTGAAATACACATTTTGTGTTATCATTCACTTCTCTTAATTATTATTCTGTATTATCAGGAACTATCTTTTCAAACAGTGAAGTAAAAACTTGAAGTCTCATTTTAGAATACCCAAAAGACCTACAGCACGAGCATTTCCAATATAGCCGAATCTTTCTTCAAATTTTGCATAACGCAACCACTGCTTCACATCATGTCCATGAACGTGAAGAAATCGCTGCCAAATAGTACGCGCACGATCGATTTCTTTGTAGCGCAATTCAAAATTGATATATGTTTGCCAGGCTTGTTCTGGTGGTTCCCAATCCATCCAGCGTTCGAACACCTAATAAAGCATGAAATTACAGAAATCTATGTTGATAATGATAATCACAGATGTGAAATAAGCTTATCCCTATTTTTCGCCAAAAATCCTTCAGTACGCATCAATCCTGATAAATTAAATAAAGCATTTCAGATAAAACTGCAAAAAATCCTTACTTGTCTTGCGCCAGGTATATTTCCGATCAGTTCTTCCATGTATGAATATTTCAACCAAAATTGCGTAGCTCGAGGTAAAATGGTGATTGCTCTATCCCAAATGTTTCTTGCATGATTAATTTGCTTGTTCCTAAAACCTTATAAAGACTGAGTCCAATTCGTAATGAGTGGTGAACTTCTCTCATCAAGCTAAATTGATACTACAAGAAAAATGAAGGATTTGCCTCATTTCCATCTCCGCATACTGGAGCCATAGCGTGATAGAACGATGATCAGTATCAAGTGCGCGCTCAAACACTGAACGTGCCCTTTGCATTTCTCCTATATTTTCTTCCCATTTTGCATATTTTACCCAATTTGCTATCTGAGAACGATTTTTACGGATGTTGTCTTCGAATTCTTTTCTGCAATAACGAAAACGCACTAGGAATTCACGTTTTAGCTTGTTTCTTGCTTGATTTTTTCAAATAACAACGAAATCCCGCAAAGTTTTGAAATCGAAAACCTAAATCCCAACTGGACATGAATTTTCATTTCCCAATGATTAGATTTAAAAACAACATTTCCTATATGATCTTTTCCGATACGCACCTCCGTTTCCTCTGATATTCGGCTAACTCCTCGGGATCGGATATCTTAGTTTTTGGCGGTGGTGCAACAATTTCTAGGTCACGTTCCTTCGCTTCACGTAACAATTGCTCCGCTGTTATTTGCAGAGCAGCTGGAGCCTGAAAACAACGACAGAAATGCATTGAAAACTTCTCAGACTACAAACCAACACATGCAATTTCTTAGCTTTACGTAAAAAACTTATTGACAGTTAATACATATGTAAAGTGCATAAATTATCTACTGATATAAGAATCACAAAATTCCAACATCACTGGTCCCTATCTACTTCAAATCAGGAATTGATAGTGAAACTGAACATCTAGCTTAAGAGTACGTTTTGGAAAGTGACATACTTTGTTCTTTACTTTAGCTGCTTTCTTTGGTAACCGCAGCGGTTTATTACCCGGCACTTCTTCGAAATCATCCATCATTTAGTTCTGAAAGAAAGTCTATTAAAGATGTTGGTCCTATCGACAGAACCCAGGTCACAAATCCTCACAAAACATCATTAAAACTTAGTCTCCCACTTCCCGCTCCGTATCTTACCACAGTCCAGCTAACTTCAAATCCGAAGTAGAACACCCTTCACACCAAGCTCTGTGTCACGCCTCGTGGACCATTCTGAAAACCTATGTCCCAACGAGGGACATGAAGTCTGGCCAACATCTATTAACATAATCCAAGACTACAAATTCGGGGGATGTCCGCAAATTTGAGGTGGATCATCAGTTCTGATACCTTCTAGACGACATAAGAAAGGGAGGAGGTAACATTAAAGGCCTGACCACACAGCTAAACCGAACCACCATTTGCTTCGCCACAAAGGTCACTTTCTCGAACGCAACAAAACCTTTACTAAGAAAGACATCTACTCATTAATCTGTCACAAAATAACCCCAAAACTATAAAATCTTCTTATTTATTTAGCATTGATCAAATACAACGATAATAAAGAATTAGGATACCAATTTCTCTCCAATAAAATGAAGATTCAAGTGTGCTAGCAACATAAGTCATATATGAAATAAACAAAGAATTTATGGAATTTTAATTTAAATTCCCATAAGCTGTAATTCCAAAAATAATAACAGTAAAGGACAACACTTAATGGAACATCATTAAAACATCGTATTTCACGCTTCAGAGAGGGAAAAATAGCAATATTGCATTTGGATTCGAAAACTTAAAGAGAAATAAATGACATGAACAATAATGATCTTTAAAAATTGTAAACAGATTCCTCAAATCTCAATAAAAGGCATTGGTTGGTGTGATAAAATAGAGGGTGACAAAGAGTATAAATAGGAAACATCACCGCATTACTGACAATAATTGACAATAAAAGGCAGAATCATAACATTATCGGCACGAAAAATCATTCTCAGAAAGAATTATGGCACCTGAAGTAATGAGAAAAAGCGCTGATTTCTTCCTTATGCATTGGCTCGTGTCAATTCCAATTCAGTGTCCATATAACAAAGGCGTCGTGTGACACGATTCCAATCAATGCTTCCACCGTCTAACGTTGGTAAACGCTCTTTACCGCCAACACGTCTCCTAGAGAATATTCACTAATTTATATAATAATTTCTCATTTTAATACCTAAATTGGAATAAGTTAATAAGTCAGCAGTCTGCATGAACATACGTACAATAAACAAAAGTTATGGAACTTTGAAATCAAATTTCGTGGTAGCCGAAACTTTTGGCCCAGTAAAGCAGACGTTAAAGAAGAAATTAAAGTAACTAACAACATAGCCCTGAAGTTGTTACGCCCTCGTTTAGCCCATTCATCTGCCTGATAAATTGGTTCTGGAATTGAAATTGCTTGATTAACAATTTGATGCGTAAAGCATAGAGCCATCATCAATGATTGCGCTTCGTCCATAGTTAAATTTGCTTCATTAATGGGCATTGAATATGCAGGCAACTTTCCGGTACCCTTAAATTTCATAAAATTTATGAAATCTTTCAAGGTCCAATCTCATCATTTCATTTCTGTTATGCCAAACACAACATACATCAATTTCATAAAAGAATGATTAGAGCTACCACTGTATCCAGAATAAGCTAATTATTCTCAAAAGAAATTAGAAATATCCTTCGAAAAATTTAAAAAAAATTTTTTTTAATTGTTAAAAAAGAAATTAGAAATACCTATTGGAAGAAATACCTTTATAATTTTATGCGACTGCATAAAAAATTCCGTAGTGTCCGGACGTGTAATATCTCTATCAATCACTGTCAGTGGCAAACAGTTTCCTAAGGAGTGATCTGAAATTTGAATATATTAGAAAAATCGAAATAATATAACGATGTCACACAATTTCCGATTTAAAATTCTTGGAAATTTCGAAATCTAGTAAAACCAACTATTCTCAACTGCAAAACGCTTGTTGTGCCTTTTGCAAGCAATTATGCATACTATATTCGGTGAGTAATTATCGGCACCAGCTTCAGCCTTCCCAAAATTACGCATTCCCTGCCGAATGGCTTCAACTTCATCCTCCATTACCTTAAATATTTCGAACGCAGCAGAATCACTACAAATTTCGAAGATACTGTTTTAACAAGCAAACCACATATCTAAAGCAACAAAATGAACACAGTTATTAAAATCTCACCATTTTGAACTGTCCCTCGGAAACGCCATCACGTGTAATAATCACAGTTTCGGGAAGCATACCATTACGACTACCATAAAAGAGGCTCAAAATCCAGTAAATTCGTTCTTCCAAAATGGAGCTTGTCACTTGTTCTTTACGAGGTTCTTGAAATGAATAATCACCAATAAAGGTTTCCGGACAAGATGCTCCATTAAAACTAATCTGAAAATGGTGAATATTTTATCTATTTGGGGAATTCAGATTCATCACTCTATATGTTTGTATCCCTTCTTTTCAAACTTTTTTTAGAACGAACTCCAAGAACGCTTGGCTGTGTAGGCGGCATCCGCATTCTTCTTTCATGTCTTGGCTGGGGTTCTGGATGACATACATCATAACCGATTATGAGGGTCTTCCCAGTTGAAATCCATTTATTTGTTCTGAAAAACGTTGTTAAATAACACATCTGAACCATATAAATTTTTACATTATTAAAATGTGTTATTTCAACAGCAATAAAAACACTCAAAATGAAAGCTAACCTAAAAAACGTAGATTTTTGAATGAGAGTACAACATACGCAAATGATTCTGGAATAATTCCATAACATTGCCCAAAATTCTTGCAATTCAGTTTGTTGACGATGTTTTCTAAAGTCGCAACTTTTTTCGGTGCTTCACGAGCCCTCGATCCATGGATATGTTGTGTGACTATACGATGAAGAGCTTCATATAATTTTAAATCATCTGAAAGGAATAAGCAATTTTTAAATATAGATTTCTTTGTTTGGAATTACAACGATGTTAAAGTTTACAGAAATTTTATGTAATTTCAACAAGGTTTTTTAACTAAGAACGTGACAAAAACCATGAGTATCATCACGTGAGTCGATATACATCACAAATGCTCGTTCATTTGGATAAGTTTCACGAATTTGTTTTAAACAATCTTCCAGTTGTTCAAATTGAACATTTTTAATGATAGGATCCATCATCTGTATGCCTTTTTTGCAACATTCGCGAACCAAAGTCTTCGAAAATGTCCTAAAATTCTATTACTGACCTCATCAGCATCAGATTACTTATAAATCAATTAACTGCAAATTTCATTTAGCAAAAAATAAATTTAGTTGCTTGCTAAGAACTCACATAACCATGTCCCCATCTCTAGCATCATCATAAAGTATGAACCAACAGCGAAGATGCGCCCCAACCAAATATGCCTTTCCGTTCATTCTCCAGCTTGCCTACAAAATATGATCAAAATGTACATCAAATTCTTTTGGCTTCAAAATCATGAAATCCAATTCTCTTACATTTCTGGCATCGATGTCGACGACACTCATCCCACCTTGCACATCGGAATATCGCACCTTCGGTGCAAGACGTCGATGGCCTTCAACCTAAAATTAAAATAAAAACTTATTAAAAAAGGAAATAACTGTATGACCAGAAGAAACAAGAAAACTTACAGTGATTGGAGCTGAACTAATCCGTACTCCAAAAGCGGCCATAAATGAATTATAATGTGTCGTTCCACCTAGGTCCAGTGCCTGCAAATTTCGGGTGATGTCGCGGAAACGTGCATGCGGAAGTATGGCACATTCCTGTAAGGCGTCTATTTATAGTAAGAGTTAACCATCTTAAATGTCAATATAATGGAGAAAACATATATATCGCTTCCACGAAGTAACTGCGATTGAGAATGCGAAGTAAGACTGACAAAAATCCATAACCCATAATTTGTTATTTACGAATTCCAAATCTACATGCCTTCTACATCTCTTTCAACATAAGAAAATTATACTTTGATTGTATCTTTCATTTGTGATGGTGTCTGCTTACTCACTGGCACTCTTTGATAAGGTGCAACGCGCAGTACTTCAATCGGAAAATATGAAGTACCAAAATTCGTAATCAAACGAACGGCTGGCCAATCTGCTCTTAAACAATTTTGTTCTATCAAATCAATCAAAGACTTGCAGCACTTTATATTAAAACAAAAAATAAAAAAAAAAAAATAGAAATCAACCAAGTTTATTTCCACTTTTTTTATTGATAAAGAAACAGCTTAAATGAAATACGGAAGCATATTACAATGTAATGTTACAAATCTGTAAATCAGTTTTAACTTACCGAATAATATAGCCTTGCTGCTTGTAATACTGCAACATTGGAATTGGCGGTGTGTTTTTGCCAACGGAAAGTCTGAAAGGAACGCCAAGCCAAGTTTTATACCCCGTCTAATTTAAGTAAAAATTATGCAAAAATAAATAAGCATAAAATGTAAAAAAAAAAAAAAAAAAAAAACAATGAGCATGCCTAATCTGTCCGACAGGCTTGTCTGACAAACCAGATGCAACAAATGACTTGTTGGTGCAGCTTGAATGTTGCAATCGAAGATCTGAAAAAAGTTTGGCGAACAATGCAAAAGTCCCACAATTCTTCATTTGGTTCCAAGAAAAACCCGCAAGAAATTGTAACAACTCAATCAAATGAACGTTTATATATTCCTCCGGAATTATACCTCGAATAATATCGTTTAATTTGCGTACAAAATGATTGAAAAGATTTGCATCCAAAGGAGGAATAGGAGAAGACAAGTGATTTTTCATTAGTACATTATGCGCCATATCCGCCAATGGAACTGCGTCAAAGAATGCTGCTTTTTTTACTGAAAAGAACTCCTTTTTACAATTCAGCAATTTAAGTATGAACCGAAAATTTCAAAACTATATAGTCAATTTAAAAGAAATAAACCAGTCATACAGTCAATGACAAGTGCTGGGATGATACTGCCACTCGACCGCTCGATAATCCGAATTCCCTTTTCGACACCGGTGATCAAAGTTCTACTCTCACTCAACGGCTGTTCCCCAAGTTTATACTTCTTACCATCCACCAAAAATAGTTTACCGCAACCAAATGCATAGTGCGTTCCCCTTTAAATTTCAAGAATTTCATTTAAATTCAGATGTATATAACTATAGTTTTCTACTATGATATTACAAACAAATAGTGTTATCTACGAAGTGATACACATTCAATCTTCACTTCAAACAAGCTGCAGGAATATTCTGGATTTTGAAAAGTGCACAAATTAATCAGTTGTACAGCAAACAAGCGTTGAAATTGCAACCAAATTCTATTCCTTGCAGGACATGACGTAATCATTTTGTACCCTCTGTTTGGATAATTTCTGGTAAAAAATTTCAAAAAAAAACCTTGATTACCATATTGTAAAAAAAAAAGTGATTTTAAGTTATAAGATATTGACTTAGTCAATAGTCAAAACACGTACTTTTGCAAAGCACTATTATTTGTGAGAATTTCAAAAAACTGTCGAAATGAGCGATTCTGACGAGCCAAATCATTCGTAACCGAATCACAATAATCGATAACATTGAAAGTATGAGAATTTTCTGCACACGGTGTTATTTCAACAATCACGTCGCACGCACCAATTAGATCACGCAATTTTGGCGTTAACTGCTCCATCGATATTTTCAAGCGAGGAAGCTGAAGCAAATTTTTAGGTTCAGTCAGGCAATTTAAAACAAAAAGTTAGAGAATACAAACGACAAAAGTCTTTAAATTCAAATATTGGAGAGAAATAAATAGCAAAAACTTCAAGTTGAAATACTGTGAAATTTTTAATTAATAAATTATGTTTATAAAACAAAATTTCACCAGTTCTTTATTAAGCGGCTCATTGGTGAACAAAGTGTTTGACAAATCATACAAGTAAGCACCACTCTCATTCAGAACGCGGTATAATTCCAAAGCACGTCTCATCAATAACATACACTTTTGATGACGTAAAGTCACTCCAGAGCTGTAAAACAATTTCAACACTACTATAATTAAATATATACATAAAAGAATTACTAGAATGCACAAGTTACCTCTACTTCAGTTGTCTGACAAAATGTCAAACGAGCTTTAAATAAGAATCGAACTTACTCATCTCTTTCGCCTCTGCACAAGTCTGTAGTTCGTTCCTTCGATGTATCTGCACGGCTTGCATACATCCGCACATCATAACGATATACAATTTGGTTTCCAACTTCTAGAGGGTAAATATTCGTTTTTACAATAACCGTTTCTCTTTGATGAGCTGGTGGTAACTTTGGTGCCATGAGACATGGTGTGGGTCTACGACTGTGAAACATATTTTGGTCCCTGCAAAGATTTGTAGGTAATAACCGACATGATTTCAAATATTCACAATAATGTTTTTTTCATCTGAGCATTATTTCAGCAATCTATCGAAAGAATTATTTAATTACTATTCAAAGCTACTGAAAATTATTATTTATGAAGCCATTAAACATTATATAAAGCAAGAAAATTATGATTAAAAAAAAATCTCGATTTAAAGAATCACCCTGCCGATTGAATGTGGCCTCTACTATGTTCTGGTTTCACGGACTGATGAATATTCAGGTTTTCAGTTTCGAGCAAATCAGAGTCCATTAAATCACTAAACGATGTTTGTGAATGGCAATCATCCGATATTGCTGAACTGCGTATTGAATTACAACATTTAACTGCACCCTCCGAGGCCTAAACACAAAGCCTAAACACAAATCAAGCATTTTCTAACATCTTTTAAATTCAAATGTTTCTATTATTTTTCTGCAAACATCTAAAATTTAATTTATGTATACCAAACTTCCTACTGCAAACATGCCGGATCTTTTCTAAATTTTTGCAATCCAACGTATGTACCGAGAAAGAATCATCAGAAACTGAGGGAGATGTAGATTCATGAATGCGCAATTGCAGCACAGATGCATTTTTTCGAGACGATGCTGACTGCAATGAACGTGTGTCAGCCGAAACGTGTCTACCCGCTCGAAACGCCGTGTCTACCCGCTCGAAAGTTGGAGGCCGTCGCGAGAGCGTGTCCGAATTAATACCAGTCCAAAGCTCCCTGCCTATCATCTCCATTTCTTCACCTGTTTTAAATGAATGATTTTAATTAATTAATTAAAATTAATGTTAAGATTTTAAAATAGTTAATTAAATTTGAATTAGATGTTTTGAATTAATGCATTTAAAGAAAGTATATTCAAATGATTTGCCTATGCTACACGAAAAATTGGGAGTGTTAGTTAAAGCACTGTCCAACCATAAAGCATTATCCAACATATATGGTTTTACTTGGGTAACACAAACGTGAAGAAATTTCGATAATGAAAAAAGCTAATAATCAGTGAGAAAAGAGAGTTTATCAGTGTTCATTTTGACCATCTGAAACTTAATTCTAAGAAAATATTCAATGGAAAGGATAAAGAATCAACCTCCAGCTGTTGCCATTTTTAATGTGTGGGAAGATTCGTTTGAGTTTGGTTGTCTTTTGCCTCGTCCGCGAGGACGAAATGAGGAAATACTATTCTCTTCACTTGGCGTAATTGGTGACATGATCATTAAACTCTTCTGCAATCAAACGGTCTTTTTGTATTTGCGTAATTCAATCCAGTAATCATGGAAAAAAACTTCAACGTTTGCATTTGCATGCTTAAAAATCAAATGATGAATCATATGAAGGATGCAACAGCTTACGCATACGCTTATTTCATTAAGTTTACAAAACATGAAGGATAGCGACAGAGAATTATAAAAATATGAATTTTGATTACAAAGAGAGACACGAAAGAAAGATAAATTTAGAAACAAAACCGCCCTAGTGTTGTTGATGGCAGAACCAAGAGAAAAACTTAGCCACGGTAATGGAATGGAATTCCAGTCTTTGTATTTACGTAATTCAATCCAGTAATCATGGAAAAAAACTTCAACGTTTGAAAATTACCGTATACAATTGAGGGAGATAAGAAAAGTAATCAAAACTGAAGAATAAATAGATCACACCAGTGTCTCGATTAAGTCATTCGCTTTACAAAGACTACACAACTACTTAAACATATAGACACATATATATATATATATGTATAGATTTCATTAATTGAAACTTATGTCTCTGTAAGAGTTGCATGAGCCACCATAATATTTGCAAGGATTGTTCTACCCGAAGTTCGGGTAGAACAACCTCTGCAGAGCGACGCATGCATGAGTGCAACCGCGAAACTGTTAACAGCTGCCAATCTCACCGCAGCACGGAACGACTCAGAATGACTGTTTTGCTACTGTGGACGTTATCAGGAGGCAGCGAATGTCTATTCCCGGTTGATCTATCCAATGTGAGGGTGGGTAGGATACGGTGGACGATGAGTGTAGAGATAATCCAAACCAAATTCTATTTTCTATATCCGCTTTTCGTGTTGATAATGTTTTCTCAATTAAAAATCCAACAAATATCTCAGAAAATTAATATAATTCAAAAATGTGATAATAAAGCAGTACAAATGTAAGTAGTAATACTATAAAGCTATGTCACCTTTATTTATACAACATAAATGATTGACGACTATGACAAAAGCCCTTGAAAATAATTCAGAGCTATCACCTCAAGCGGAATTCCTATTGCACGTGTAGGGTTGCAAGGTATGCACGTAAAGACTCCGTGAATACTCGTCTCCTATAATGTAAAGGCAAATTTTTGTAACCTTTCCGCACGTAATTCTACCCCTAATTACATGTGGAGAGAAAGAGAACTGACTGACTGCACGTATATATGTGAAGGAAAGAAGAAATATGAAGGAGAGAACACCGACCGAGAAAACATATAGTAACAGCAACCACCAACGATAAAAAATAATGCACTGGAAAGCTCCCAATGGCAGGTAATCATTTAAATTATATTTGTATAATAGTAAAAATTTGCATATGGTAGAGGACATTAAAGTACGAATGCCAATCGACTGATCACTTCATTTACTTTTCCTTTAGTGATCAGTGGATTGTTTTCTTTTTAAATGACATAATTCGACATTTATTTTTTTTAAAACATGCATTAAGTAAGGTCTCACATGAACGGCAAGTGAAATGCGCGTATAGTTAGTCCATTACGTAAAGTATCCATGTTTTAGTGTAATAAACGAGAAGATAGTTGTAAATTTTTTCTGACTTCCACAATCACTCGTTTATATGAATGTTTTCAAAAATTTTCAAATGTCACTCTCTACTACTGATTATTTTAGTACACTTCCTACGACAAATGTCCCATCATTTCAGGTTCGTCATGTGCACGAAATCTATCAGACTAGTCTGCCCATTCAAAATGTTTCTTCTCCACTGTAAATTCAGATATCACTTTATCATTCTACGAGATGACCTTTCACAATACAATGATTATTTCTGGAATGGATGGTACATAATATGGCGACCTTGTCTATTGTCTCAGTATTCCAAGTGCACTCCTCAATTCACCACACCTATCACACTACATCACACATGCTTCATCTCGAACTGTTTTCTTGGACGTCGAGAACGGGAGACATCCATTTGTTATTTAAGTGCGCGTTGATCTTTGATATGCTATCAACTGCACTGTCATCATTCATCTTCACTATTCTCGCATTCTGCAGTTCTTAATTGTCACTTCACTAATTACAAGGATAAAAAGGACTGACTAAACTGTTCAGTGAAAGAGAAAAGATCAGAACATGAACTGATGACTCGAAAATTAGTGTTGACTCGTCCAAATATCTCAATCTCTTTGTTCCGATGAATCATCCCTGTATAAATCTATTCACAGTGATATCCGTGCTAATGTCATTATGGTACCACTAGAATCTTATTTTGTTAACTTTGCATAGATTGCTAGAGTAATTCTTTCGTTCATTCATTAGTCTTAGCTAGCAATCTTAGTAGACGTACGATAAAGTTAGGTGATACGTCAAACTTTTCATAACGCAACTCGCATGACGCGTTAATTTTTCATTCATGTCAACACACAGTTTGATAGTATTACGGACGTTACTTGCGTGAGGAATGTGTGAGGAGTTTTTCCCTTAGGAGGATTTAATGGCCGATATTAATTCAAGTTTTTTCAAGTTTTTGACGATTAAATGACCCGGACGGGTTTTTATGATTGGTCCATCATCACTATCTTAGCTCACACATCTATTTTTATTGTTTCAGTAGCACCTCATCCATTTCTTAAGTCTCTTCATAAAAGATAATTCTTCAGAAATTACTAAGTCCATTTTTCTGATAGAGTGTAGTTCGAAATGAAGCAATAATTGAGAGAAAATTGAAGTGAAGCAAGGAAAAGGATGATAAGATGTAAATGAAATGTTGTGATTCAAATTTATGTAAATATTAAGACATTTGTGCAAGATGGCTGGTTATAGTTTCTTATTTTGATGCTTATCATGATGGTTTTAATTCCCTTTTGTTTGTACAAAAGATATAATTTCAGGTGACACGTGCAGGATTGCCTAGAGGATCGCACATCTGGCAATTCTTTGTAATCGAGATCCCTCTTTTTCTTAGCCCTTTGGACCCTTCGTGATGAATGTTAAAAGTAGTGGGAATTCTGAATATGTTGGACCATGTTCCAGTGGTATGACAAGCTTAGGTGTGGTACCTGCACCTATTCGTAAACGGCGTTTCAGCAGTGCAAAAATTCAACCGGCTAGTTTCTTATTTCTTTTCTTTGATTTAATATTTCGTTAATACTTCATTGTTTATGACGTTTCTATTCCAGCAATACGTATTATATGCAAATGGGCAAGCAAATTCTGTCAAAGATTTTCAAGATTTTCTACAAATAAGATTAGTTCCAGAGATGGTTAGATTCAACGGCTATACATTTAAGGTCATGCTTTTGGCGTGGCATCCGATTTCGAGATGCAAAGTGACGGCCTTCAAGGGTTGGAAGTGACCAGGTATCAGTTCAGAGTTATTTTAGATTATCCATTTCAGACTCGAGTAAAACGGGTGATGCAAAGTGATGATGAAATTGGCCGTATGGTTGCATCTGTACCGGTAGCAGTTGGTCGAGCTATGGAGCACTTTGCTGAAAAACTGCTTGAAACTGCTGCGCAGTGCGTTTTATATTCGTCGTCGCGCACTCTTTCTCCATCACATATGTAAATTTTTAGATTCATTATACTGTTAGACTTCAAAAGTTTTTCATTTTTTAATTATAAGTTCGACATATGTAATTTAATCATTTAACTAATGCACCTTAACTGTGGATTTTCAAATCAATGTGTTGCTAACACTAGTACCATGAAAGAGGTTGATGTATAAAAAAAAATGAATGTTTGTCAATTCGAAAGTGTTTATGCATGATTTCAGAAAACAGGCTGTAATGCAAACTCCTCATTTTAAATTTTTGGAATCACTGGTTCGAGAAATACCTCTACCACCATCAGCTGGATCTGAAGTGCATTGGAAAACTGATTTGGCCGATCAGCCTTCGTTTTCGGGTTTTTATCCGCCAGGTTATCATCAATTTTATTGCATATATTTGTCCCCATTGCATTTATCTAACGTTTGGAACTGTGCTGCGGTTTCTCTCTTGTAAGAATTTATTTGATTTTTGTGTCTTTGAGTATCATTCCCAAATGTTTTTTGCCTATAATTTGTTATTCAGGTCCGGCGACAGATTCCTCCTGCCACATGGGTATATCGATGCTAGCGGCCCAAATAGGTTTACCAAAATTGCCATCTAGTGGAAATCTATTGAGTACTAAAAGAAGACAAAGTAATGGTGAAGTGGATAGCAATGAAACAAAGCCAAAAAGAGGCCGGCCACGAAAAATGAAGAGAGAGGAAAAGTACAGTGTTCTTGGTATTGATATACTAGAAGTAGTGAAGAGCAAAATAGGACTGGAATTTAACTTCAATTTTTTGTTTTTTTTTGAATTTCCAGGAAAGTACAAACTCATGATTTTGTGTTACACTGATCACAATTACTTTGAGGTGGTATTTAAAGTAATTATTAGCCAAGCACCTTTTTTCAGATGCGTTGATGACGACGATTTACTTTTGGATGAAAAGCCTTTGAGTCGTGTTACAGATATAAATGAACTATCAAATGGGACAGTGCTTAGCGATCGAGAGCTTATGCCTCCTCCTAATGTTTTACCGATACGCATTCTTGCATCTACTGCATTTATGGATAATAAGCGGAACTCGCCATCAACAAGTCTACTTTCTTCATCGAAAATGAATAATAATAGTGAACAGAGGCAGTCAGCTGTGTAACAGCCAAATTGTTTACGATTACCAGCAGCAGTCTCTACAACTTTGACTTTGTAAGTATGATTCCAAAACTGCTGTTACTGTTACTAATTCCAAATTACCACAGTGATTTCGTTTCATTTTAACTTCTTTTTTTGTACATTAATCATTGTTATAGTACTGTCATTTTTTGCATAAGATATTCATATAGTTTGATAATGAAAGTAGTTTAAGAGCTTTCTGAAAACAGATTAATTAAATCAAATTTTTGCTCAGCTATTAGGATGAGTTGCTATGATGTGACTGTGATGATTTATAATGTATAAATATTTTTGCATTTTTTTTTTTTGGTTTTTCCTGATAACAAAAAACGCGATGGTCTTATTTGTTACTGCTGAGCCTCGTTCCGGATAACCTGCCGTATATCTTTGTTTTGTTATCACTTCATTTGAATTGATTTGTTCTTATTCCTGTTGATTTTTCACATCCGAAATAGTATAAACGTGTTATTCGTTCTTTATTTTATGCTTAGTTCCGCGGTTTTTTGTAATCCTCGAATCCTTGCTATCCATGAAGTATGCATATTGGAGCTTAATCCAGGTTGTTTTCATGTTCATTTGGATCATGTATAACAATTGAATTGGTTGAATATATTGTTAAGTTCTTAATTTATAAACATATTGTTCAACATTATCAAGTGTCGAACAATGAACGGGAACGTTAAGAGGAAGAGATAGACTTCAGTTTCATAGAAAACGTTATATTGGGTTGGTACTTCTAAAGTTTGCGATTAAAATTATTTGGAATTTTTTCGTTATAAAAGGCGCAGTTTTACAAGAATTAATGGATGGGTCATCAGCGGTGTACAGTTTTAATGCCTTCGACGAGAAATACGCTTTCAATGATGACGGCTTCTTTACGTACAGTAGTACGGAACAGGTATGTTAGAACAGTAAGTTATCGTAAATATTCTAAACTGTTTGTATATAGTATCTTCAGAAACAGATACTATATACAAAACAAGGTCATGTTCAAGTCTTCCACTCATTTTAAGTCTTTTGAAGTTCTTTGTACTTTCATCTGATATGTGACATATGTGATCTTTAATTTTCATACCTATAGCTGATAACTTCCTGTGATAATCTCCTGTGTTCGCATAAAGAAATGATTAAGTAGTTCAAATAAATTCAGAAGCGAGTTGAAGAACTTGCCAGAGATCAGGCTAGAAAATTCATCGACGCTTATTTGGATAGTGTGGATGAGGATTCAGATTATGCGCCAACATTGTATAGGACGCTTCACACTAGACTGGTTTATCGGTCTTTAAAAAAATTGGGGAGATCGTGCTCGGTATGAAAATTTGTATTCAAAGTTGAAGTTAAGATCTAACAGCTTACAATAATTGTCACGTTCTTTGAAATAACAGCATCTTTTTTCTCTCAGAGATCTCTTGTTCAGTAATCATGGCATCCTTTATGAACTCCTGCATATTACAAATAGTTTTGAGTAAAATGGTTTGAGATTTCTCTAGTTACACTAATTTTTGTTTGAAGGATAACTATAGATGAGAAAAAGTTGAAAAGGATTTCTGCTGTGTCATTTCAAACTTATTCTTTTTTTCGTATTCAGCATCTGGATGCATCGCGACCATGGTTTTGTTATTGGGGAATGCACAGTTTAAGGCTTTTGGAAGCATCACTTGATGAAAACCTAACTTCCAGGTTGTTTTGTTAGAATATGTGTTGAATGGGTAGAAATGATGATTTATATATAAACCTATATAAATGATTTTTGACTGAATAAATATGAAGCCTTTTAATGATATTGCTTTGCAGCATCGTTCGATTTTTGAAGACCTGTGAATGGCCTACTGGTGGATATGGAGGCGAGCAGTTTCTTTGGTTCATTTGACAGACATGTATGCGAGAACTCTTTTTTCAACCGTTAGTCATGAAAAATCTAGCGTGTTGAATGTATTTTATTATTTGTTGTCACCTTAGAGCTGAAATTTAAGTATTAAGGTGGTCCAGGGCAGTATCCACATTTAGCAACAACCTATGGTGCAATAATGGCACTAGTAAGCATTGGTACAGATGAAGCGCTTGCAAGTATCGACAGGTTTGTGTTTTTTGGAATATCTCTCCTTATAAATCAAATTTTTTTCTTTCAAAAGGAAGCTTGACTTGGTAACAATTCATAACGAATCCTTGTGCAAAAAGTTTACTTTTACTGATATCATAAAATGCATATAAAATAAGATCAATTGTACTTTAGGAAAACTCTGAAAGTTTTTCTACACTCTGTAAAACGCCCAGATGGTGGGTTCGCATTACATATTGGCGGTGAAGCTGATATGCGAGGATCGTACTGTGCTCTTGCTGTTGCTTCTATTACGAATATTTTAGATGATCAGCTAAGGAAAGATGCAGATAGTTGGGTTATCAGGTTGTTTTTTCCAGAATGTATCCAGTAAGATGATTGTTACGGAATTAATTATTGATTATTCCTGTTTTCTCTTCTCGTTATCATCTTTACTTTCGTAATTAAGAAAATTTTCTTCCAAAGTAAACAAAAGTCCAATTTAGCTGTCAAACATATGAAGGTGGTTTTGGTGGCGAGCGCTGCTGTGAAGCGCATGGCGGTTACACGTTTTGTGGTGTGGCCGCATTAATGCTACTGGGAAAAAGTGCATTAATTCATGCATCATCACTGTATAGATGGCTTGCGAATAAACAAATGAAATTTGAAGGGGGATTTCAAGTAAATAATTAGTGGTTTTGAATTTTAAATATAGAATTAATGGTTTTGATTGTCTGAAAATATTTGCAGATTTCTTCAATTTGTCACTTTTTTCTCAGGATGTTTTAAGAAACGAAGGAAATTGCGATAGTAAATTTAAAATTCCAAAGATATTACTAAAAAAAGATTCCAAAGATTTTTTCAGGGTAGAACAAATAAATTGGTTGACGGTTGTTATAGTTTTTGGCTAGCTGCTGTATTTCCAATATTAGAAGTTGCCCAACTTGCTATGGGGAACAAAATCTCATCATCGTTTGATGGAAAGGCGTTACAGGAATACATTCTAGTTGCTTGCCAAGATGTCGAAAATGGTGGTTTACGGGATAAACCAGACAAGTTCGTACTATATTCTTGTATTTTTTCTATGGAACGTAGTCGATTTATAAAAAAAACTCTCATTTGAAATAACTGGAATTTGACCTAAGATTTTATTTTAATAGTTGTTATTAGCTATTGGCAGTGGTTGACTTAACGGGATTTAAGATTTTCAAAAATTGGGAAAACAGTTTTGGGACTTTTGATATATAGGATAACGATTAGGTCTAATTTCCAGATTTAGATGAAAATCTATTATTAAAGGTCGAGCGATTTATACCACACGTGTTACGTTTTGAGTGGGCTTTCTATTGCACAATATTATACAACGGACGCTATTGTTGGTGGAGAAATTAATCGTTTGGTATCAATTTGGCTTATTAGTGGCTGATTCCACCAAAGTCGCTTTCATTTCCATTATGATTTAATACCACTATTAAACTAAATTGAAAGAATTCACATCATAAGCATATGTCGAAAGAATATTATGGTGTATTTAAGTCTATATACTACTTTTCCACGGCCTATGACATTGGTGGTAATGATTTGATACACTATATATCTGTTTTATTATAAGCAGTTTCTTAAAAGCGAAGCGGTTAGCTTAATATTGCTTATAGGCAAGGTTATCGCCAGTTTATAACATATGCGAGAATGCCGAAAGGAAGGCACGAGAATATTTTGGAAAATCAAAAGTAATTTGACGAAGAATCAAAAAATTTATTGAAGAATATTCTTCACAAACAGTTAACGTTCTCTATCTTTATTTCCTTATATCATTGTTTCTTATTACTTTGATTTCCGTTTTATTTGTTTGGCTGTTTTTGGAATTTACAAAAATCTGTCTTTAGATAGCATATTGTAGAATTTGGATTACACAGCATAACTTTAATTCTTTTAAAATTACTTTTGTTAAGAAGGAGAATAAGATTTATTTTAGAGGATGTGCAGTGGTTGGGAAAAATACGTGGATTCAATATATATCAGGATTACTAAATACTAATTCATAATTTAAAGTATCATGTGGTAGTGCATGCATTAAGGTGCTTCGATAGTTAACTCTTAAGAGGTAATATCTGACATTGTTTTGTTATTTGAGTGGTAATATGCGACTACACTTCGGAAATGACTCGTATCATTTTTCTTTAAGTTATACATTATAATTTTATATGGATATTAAATTCAGAAATTACTACTGACTCATGACACTATAGACTTCAATTAATGCGCAGGCCATGTACTATTAGTTTAATCTGAGCTTGGGAGCTAATTTTCCCGAAGCTTTTTATTCTTTTTGCTTGATAAAGTAGTTCTTCATGTTTATTGCTGCTGAATACGTTTTTATGTTATTTCTTTTGCTATTTTTTAACGTTATTTTTTGGTTGGAAGCTATGTTTTTTTTAATTTTTGTTAAAGGTATTGTTTTTCTTTTCTTTTTTAAAGACATTTTACAATTTTGATTCGGTAAATTTCAAATGATTAAAATTGAAAAGTAAATTTTTTTTTTCGGTGCTATTTTCTGAATTTATTTTCCGTTGAAACGGAAGTTTCATTTACCATTTTCTGATATCGTACGAAATTTCATTTTTGTGTTTTGATTTTTTCTCAGCTGGTTTCATTTTAGAGTAGTTTAATCTTCATATCGTGACAAAAAAAAAACAAGGTATGAACTAGTGAAAATATTGGACATAATAAGAGGAGGGTATTATTTGGACAAGACTTTTTTTTTAGTGATTGGATCTGTTGAAAAATTACACACTAGTGGTAAAGCGATTGCTGCTTATCAACAATGGTCAACTTAAATTTTGTATGAGTTGACAGAGTTTTTTGCAACTAATTTTTGATTTTTCAAATCTATTCATTAGGTTAATTTCTCTGTACTTTATTTTTAGAGGTTTGTTTGGAAAAGATGATGTCCAATCAGAAATTTTTTGGCTTTGGGATCTGGTTTTTCTGATTATTCGTCCATTCCCTTTCTAAGCATTAGAAAATTGTTTGTTTTAGCTTCAAATTTTTAAGAAAGCTTTTTGACCATTATATATCTGAGAGAAGTTTTAAATTCTTGTTGTTTGCTTGTTATTATCGAGAATATCTTTCAAGTTTTGTGATTCTGCTGATAACTGCTGGTTTTTTAATTCAAAGGTTGAACAAATGGCACCCGCAACAGCTGAACCTTTAGTTCGGCATTCACCTGAAACGAAGTGGTACGATTATGGGGATTTGGAATGTACTGAGCAACTGACATCTGATTTGAATTGTTTTAACAGTATCGAGAAGCAAGCAGAGATTTTGTTGAAAAGGGACTGTGAATTACAGTGGCAGAGTATGTTTGTGTTTACATGTATTCTTACTCTAAAGTTATAGAATTTAATATCTGGAATGCTTTTTATGAATAATTCGATTAAGTAATTAAACGATTTATTAGCTTAAGTCGCTCCTTCTTAGTTGCATTTATTTTCATCACTTCTTCTGGAAATGAAAGTGAATTATAGTGCAAAGTAAGAAAAACATGACTGAAACAGCATGGCTGAGCACAATTCTGACTCGTGGTACTGCCAGAGATAAAGTAACTGCTATGCAGATATTGACACAACGACATCCAGTTCATTCCATTTCATATGTTGCTGCATTGGTTAATAATGTTGCCAAGAAAAATGCAAGAGAGGCATTTTCTGTACTCGGTTAGCTCACTACTTACATATGATTTGTTTCACCCAATGTTTTACGTATTTTCATCTAGTATGTTTTGTTTTATATCTAGTGTATTTTATGCGTTTTCACTATACTATGGAAATAATTGTTTTCAGTTACTTCTCTAATTTTTCAGGCTTGCTAAAAGACTTGTTTATCAATGAATTATTACCGCCAGGGCGAAAATTGATCCCCTTCTCGGCGGTCGGTCATTTTTTGGTTATATTAATTTTTGTAATAATTATTGAGCTTTAAGTTAATTAATTCCAGAGACCAGTGGAGAAAATAAATTTGTCATCGTTGGACAAAGATTTTAATATGAAAAGGAAACTTATACTGTGGAAATTTGAGTCGGATTTGAAAACTGTGTATGAAAAATTTGTCGCTGCAATAGAGGTATGAATTTGTAGATGTTTGAACATTACATCTAGAAATAAATGAGGCTGGCATTAGTCAAGAAATATCATTATTTGCCATTTCAGCGATTGGCTGGAGAAAATATAGAAAAATTGGGCATATTATCTTGCCGCTATGCTCTGGAACTATTGATTGCACGTGCTGAACAAGAACAGGTATTTGCATGCAATTTGTCTAGTAAAATATTTCATGTTTGGTTGCTTTAAATTTTGAGTTGAAAATAACTTTCGTATTTCGTGTTTCATCAGACTCTGAATTCTTTATTAAAAGAGCTGCCACCTTTTATTGCTACCAGTTTTGGTCGCCAAAGATTACTGTTCTGTTTTTTATTAGAAGCTGTTGTCTTTGCTTATAAACAAACTCGGACATCCGAATAAAACATTAGCTACACGTGTTTGTGGATATCTGCTACAGTTGACCAGAAAACAACCACTCATGCGTCATATCGTTGCTAAAGAAGTAGAACGACTTATCTATCGAAAGTTGGTTTTTATATCCGATTTTATCAAAATTTAGTTTTTTTTTAGTTTTTTAAGCTTTGAATAAAAATTAAGAAAGTAATAATCTTTTAATATGTTAGGTGTAATTGTTACTATTCACAGGAATATTTCATGCTGCACACAGCTTCATGCAGTCTCATTTTTGTCCCAAATGAACTTGCATGGTTGTGACCCAACGCTTGCGTCAACGTTGCTTAATATATACATAGGATTATTTCGAATGTTAGTTTTTAATAAGAAAATGGATGACAAAATATTGAATGTTTTACTGTTGGCTACGAATCGAGCTTTTTCATATGCGAAAGGTTTTCTTTTACTATGAAGTTTTCTTTTCCTTCCTTTTATTTAGCTTTAGCTGGTCATATTTAAATTTACTCGAGACAAAATAACGATTGTAGTTATAGGTAATTTAAAGTTATAGATATTTAAGCAATACATTATGGTTTTTTTGTAACTTGGCGACGATATTTACAATTTTACCGACTTGTTTGTTGGTTATAAAGAACCGCAAAGCACTACTGCAAATATTTTAGTGTGTGACCGAAAACTTTGCCTGTCTGAGATATTCTTTAAACCATTATCTCTAACTTGTATTTAAGAGGAAATTTTAGGTGATGTGGATAAATTGATAAAAGAAGTCGACACTCTATACAAAATTTTGCATCAATCAAGTTTTTCAACTGCATTGCAGACACTGAAGTTATTATATCAACTTCTTACAACAAGGTTCTTTATTTTTAATATTTTTCAGCTTTGTCTTTATCCCTCCAAGCATTTTTGCTTTGATAGCTTGGTTTAGGGATGTGTGGTGATGCATAAAGAACATTAAATGGAAAATATTCTTTGCTCTAAAGAGAATACCGATTCGGATAAACAACCACTGAAAATACTGTGAACTGTTGGTGTTAACGATACCAAACAAAACTTATAATTTTATAAATATTTTATAAATAAATTTTATAAAATTTTTTATAAACATTATTTATTGTGTTATTTATAGTGAGGGGATTTCGGACCGTTTTTATGCTGCTCTTTATCGACGTATAATGGATCTTCAACATGGCACAAATGTAGATAGGCAGTTGTTTTCACTGTTATACCGAGCTTTATCTTCAGATACTATTGAATGTAGAGTTATCGCATTCGTCAAACGTCTTCTACAAGTTTGCATTTCTGGTTTCTCATGTGGAAATGAAAAAATTTTTCAAATTCTATAAATCTGATTCAAACGATTTTAAAATTTAAATACTTGCAAAAGATTTTAAAATTTAAATACTAAGACTCCGAAGATAAACAATACAAATGATGGCATCATTAATCGGACGTAAATCATATAAATTTTTATAGTAACACAGCTGTTATTGACTAAAATCTTTTTTGCAAAAGAATCTTAGAAATTCAATCTTTTCAGCTCTCTTTATGTCGTAACGCTTCATTTGCTGCTGCAACGTTAATTTTGATCTCACGATTAACTGAGAGTCGACCGTCATTATTAATAACTAAGAAAACTGCTGATGTAAGTAACTGCATTCTTGTGTTGTCAAACCGCTCTTCTGAAAAGACCGGTTTTCACTACCAACGTTATATCCTTAAAAAATTAGTCTTTAGCATAATGCACTTTTGATCGTAGAATTAAACGGCTTTTTTATTTTCGAAGTAAATTGAATATATTCTGTTATATTCTTTATATGTTGCAACAACTTTTTCTACATTTTTGATTGGTTGTATTTTTTTTCTTGACATCAGATTGATGATGTTTTTTAGTTCACAAAATTCAGTAATGAAGCGAAAACAGAAGCTGTTGATGATGACGAAGAAGTGTATTATGATTACGATTCCTCCACAGAGACGGTAAATGCCGAAACTTCATTAACATCAACATTTGAAAGTAATGACAAACTTATTAGTGATATCAAACCGTGTGGAAAAAAGGTTTTTGGATGGATGCACAAAAATAACATTGGTATGAATCATTTTCTTTTTAGTATTTCACAACGTCATTAACGATTTACTAAAGCTCATTCTGTCGTTCTGTCATTTACAGTGTATTTCAATTTATGATATAGTTACTTCTTTGAAAACTGTTATTCTAATTGCATTTAAAATTCCGTGTTTCAGTGGTGCGAAGTACTGCAACAACATACGACCCAATGGTTAGAAATCCATTGTTCTGTCGTGCTGATAAAAGCATCGTTACAGAATTGATACTATTAAGTATGCATTATCATCCTTCAGTTGCTGTGTTTGCGTCAAATCTGCTTAATGTAAGTGGAAAATGTAAAACTGATTTTCAAAAATGTAAGACTTTTATAAGAGCATATTTATCAGCTAAGCAGACATTACTATGAATTGGTAGTGTTTTTATTCGACTAGTAAGTTAGTCTTCAGAACTCTGATATATATATGACTGCAGGGCATATCAATACGATATGATGGTGATCCTTTGCTCGATTTTACGCAAATGCGCTTTCTCGATCGTTTTGTCTTTCGAAATCCGAAAATAAAAAATACGAATGAAAAAATTATGCGACGCAAGGCCTACGATCCTCACGGTGTTAGAAAGCTACCAGTTATATCGAAGGTAAAATTCTGCAGTACATCAGTTCTCTAGCATGTTTGGAATTAAAGTGCTTCGTTTTTTTTTTTTTTTTTTTTCTGAATATTTTGTGTCGTTTTATTTTTTCTGAATTTTCTGAAAATAATTTTCTGAATTTTAGGAATACGCTGCAAAAAGCAGAAATGAAATACCAATCGATGAAAGGTTTTTACACCGTTTTGCATTAATGAAAATGCGTATGAAGAAAGAAGGTGAAGAAGAAACTATTTATGATGATGATATTCAAAGTGTCAATTCCGATGAATTCAATATGTTGCTAGGTAAATAATTTATCATATCGTTCTGTTTTAAAGATGCTTAAAGACTCTTGATACTAAGACTTGTGATTCCCTAATAATTAATTAATTAATAAATAATTATTGAATTAATCAGCAAGCCCCTTCTTATTCCATAAAATTAAAGAATATTTTTCAATTTTTCAGATCGTTTCGAGCCGGGTGAACGAAGGGAAGTATTTGATGTTGACTTCAGTCAAGAATTCAGTATTGAAAAGAAAAAGGAAATGAAAAACCGAAAACGACCACTTGAAAATGAAACTGACGATGAGGAAGATGATGTGGAAAAAAAGAATATGATTGATGCTGATGAGGATGAGGAGCTTGAAGAGGATATCGAGGTGAAATAAATATTGACAGAGTAATAGTATAGTGATTTTTTTTATAAAGCAATTTCCAAATTTCAGTTGGTCAAAATAGGTTCTCATTTAGTTATTATTAGGCACCATTTATCGCGTGTAATGTTTATTGAGAAAAAGATAAACATAGTGGAATTGATTTTAAAGGATGAATCTAGTGTTGTGGATGAGGAAGAAGAAGGATCAATTGAAGACGAATTTGTTAAACCGACAAAGGAAACTTATGATAGTGATGATTCGGATGATTTCGTTCAACAGTTTAATTATGTAGAAGATGCTGCAATAAGTGCTGATAAGGTTTCTTTTTTATTTCTGTAGATACTGAGTTTTTTAAAGTTTTCCGAGTTTACTTTCTTTCCGACCAAGTTTCGATATTCTTTTAAGTTCACGGCGATGTTGGAAGAAGAAAATGATTCACACAAAAAAAATTCGAAAAGGAGGATTAAAAAACTTCATGGGTTTAAGAAGCGAAAGGATCGATAATATCTCAACGGAATCTAAAGCAACATGAAGTTGTTGTTTGTTGCTTATTACTTTTTTATAAAAATTTTGTTTCAGTTTTTTGTTTCTGCAAAGAAAAGTATACTTATTTAAAAGTCTATCCAAACATTTCGCATTTTGAGCTATACATTCTAAAGATTCCAAAGAAATAAGTAATCTGTGTAAAGATTTACGATAAAGCCATGAGGAATAATAACGGGTGTTTGAGTATGGATACAACTGTGTAGCACTTAGATGTCATAGCATTATATGAAATACAACTGCTAAATAGTTTCATATCATTTCGCCACTAATATTTAATAAAGCTCTTGATTGTCATTGTTGGTGATTAGATGAGTAATTCATTGAATATTCAAGTTACTTTGTTATATTCTTCTTTCCTATATTCTAAAATTAGGGATCATATTCATAATTTGTTATCCGAGAAATATTTTACGCCAGACAAATGCTTGTCCTTCGTGCTGAGATGTGCTGTTGCAGTATCAGTTGCCTGACTATTTTTTGTCTTTATTGGATTTACAGAAATATATGAAGAAAGAGAATGTTCTTCTATTAGGCGAACAGATCTTTCAAATTTTTTGAGTTTTCAAAATCCTTTTAAATTACAGTTCGAAACAGGTGCAACAATTCTGTAGTTTTATTTGCCATGAAAATCTAACTAATTTTTCATTTCGAAATGTTACACTGTGCTGGAAATTTGTCACTCATTATTTGTAGTAATGTACTTCGTCTTATCTGAAATATCCTTCCTCTTTCTTCCTGGGCATATTCGTTAGAGAAATTGTCTGAAAAACTTGTTTTTTCTACTCATATTTTACCTCTTTACATACGCTTCTAATTTCTGTTTTGAATGTTTCTTATGTGCTAGACTAGCAAAAGTCAAATATTTCTGATTCAAAATCATAAAACAGAGGTTGTATTTGAAAGTAATTTGGTACACATTGAAGCCAAAATCAATATTAATGATAGCTAATATCTATCATAGGAGTCTAATATATATACTAGTTTCTTTTTTTTTGGCGGAAATTGGTTGTAGCAATGTTACTGTCGAATTCATTTAGAAAAATTAATAAAATACGCAGAAACCCCCATTAAGCAAAATAAAAAAACACCAGAATAATCAAAAGACATAAAAACAAAAAAATAAGGCAAAGTAAACCAAAAAAAAATCATCAAAATAAAACTACAAACAGGCATCAATAAAAAAGATAGTCATGAAGAAAAATAAAAAAAAAGCTGTTCTTTCTTTAATAATTTAAGACCATCAAACAACGCCTGAAAAATACCAGAGTAACCAACTTTATTGGGACCAATACGACACTGAGTGCCACCCAAAAAATGACGTTCTATTAAAGTTAAAAAAGCAATGGCTTGTAAAATAAAAATAATTATAAGAAAAATACCAATATAATAAAAAATAAACAAAGTAAAATCCAAAGAATTTACAATTCTTTATTCTAATATAAACTAATACTTTAAAAAATAGAGACAAGTTTCCTTACCTCTACCATACTACAACTTACGCCCCTATAGGCCATTGACGGATGGTTTGTACCACTTTGTTTATTAAATTCATTAATATATAAAAAAAAAATTACTTTCTTTTCCAATTTCAAAAAAAAATAAAAAAATAATCCAAAAAAAATTAATAATAGTAATACACGATCACAAACCCATAAGCCAAATATATATCTGTTTTAAATGACAAAACATAAAAGCATTACAAATAAAATAAAAACTAAACAATCATACATGTGCCAATAGAGTTAACTAAAAAGGAGGGCTCTCCATACGCATATTCCAAAGAAAAATCCAAAGTCAGTCAATATTTTTTCGGTTTAAATAAAACTTTACTCCCGAATTAATTAATTTTGATTACCTGGGTACTAATCCAGTTCAAAAACCAAATTTTAATTGTCTCTTCAAATAATAAAAAAAACTAAAACATTTTACAAAAATAACATAAAAATATAAAAATAAAAAAAGACAAAACAACAAATAGAGTTAAAAATTAAAATGTATAGCCGATTATTCTGGAACACTTATAAAACAATCAAAAAACTACCAGTGAACAAAAAATTACACATTAAATAAACTAAAAATAAGTAATATTATCTTAATACAACCAAAACCAAAATCAAACTTAATATTATTAAAAATAAAACATAACCTTATCAACACCAAAACTTTTAACACTAAAAAAAAAAATAACTAAACCAACAACCCCGGATATAAGTCCAAAACACAAAAAATAAAAAAAAACAATAGAATTAAAAAAAAAAATATAATAAACAAGTAAAGAAAAAAACAACAATTCAATACCAAGCAAAACAAAAATTAGATAATTATATTTAAAAACAAAATACAAAAAACAAAAAAAAAATAAAAATACCTAAAGAATAAACCTTTTGATTAAGAGTCAAAAATTCTAAATTTAAAATAATCCTTTAAATACGGTAAACCTCGAAAATATGAATCTCACAGACTTAAAAATTATCCTACCATATTTAAGAATCTTTAACCTACTAATCAACAATTAGTTATACAAAAAAAATTATACTTAAAATTCTAATAGCTTAAAACCAGCCGCGCTTAAAACGAATATACTTATTATACTAAAAAGCCATAGTGTATAAAAATCTTAAGATTGCAAATCAAATATAATAACTTTATAATATATACACTATAGTAAAAAAATAATCTTTAGTTAGTAATTTAAGTAGTTGGTCTATTAAATAAATACAATTCTAACAGAGTATTATAACTTTAATGTTATAATACTCTGAGAATTGTATTTAATTTAGTAATTATTTTTAAATAATTACTAATAATTATTCATAATTATATTGAACGTACAAAAAATAAAAAAACCAAAAAAAAAAAAAAATAAAAAATAACAAAAAATCATCATTGAAAATAGGCTCTAAAAAATAACAAAATAAAATAGATATCTTACAAATAAAAATTAAGAGCCTTAAACATATAATAAACAAAACATAATACCTCACATTCATTCTGAAAAACGCCAATAATCAATAGATATATCATATGCTTGAGTATGATATCAATTAAAATTATGCAATTTAACACGAAAAAAATTGGTAATAAGAAAAACAAAAACACCAATTAACACATGACTTCCATGCAATCCAGTACCAATATAAAAAACTCTACCATAAATTCTATCATTTATAACAAAGCAATTATGAGTATAATCAAAAAATTGGAAACATAAAAAAAATGCACCAATAAAAATACACAACAATAATAAATTCTCACATTTATCTATATTTAAGCACAAATATCGTCGAGAATATAAAAAATAAAAAATAAAAAAAAATAAAAAAAAAGATAAAAAAACAATAAAAATAAACGAAATCCTTGACCAAATCGATAATGCAGGTAGGTAAACACCTGTTTATTTTCTCAAGCATATAATTTCCGAGTATCCATTGGCATTATCGATAAGATATTTCATGCGAATAGTGAAAAGAACTGCTCGTCAGATATTGGTACAACTGTGTTATATTTAATACTAACAAAGCATGAGATCTTCTGCTCAAATATTTGAAGATGATATTGCATATTCTGTCAGTTTCTCTCTATTATAGTACTATTGTAACATCTTCTAAGTTCAAATGGCTTTTGAATGCATTCGCTAATTACACACAGTAATTTTATTGCGAATTTTAATTATTAGCATAATTCACCTTAGACTGTTAGATTTATGTTTTGCACTAATTCATGAATTTTTTCAAATGATTCCTATTAAAATCAGACTCAATCATCATACAAAGAATAGTATTAGCAATATGTTTGTTACTGACTTATCAGTACTGCTATCAAATTCGTTTTGAAAAATATTTCTAACCCAAAATATATATTTTATTACAGACTTTATTTTCAACTGAAAATATAAATCCTGCACTGAACCTTTTATCTCTTCCAATGTTAAGTACTGCGCATATTTCATATAGAGGGATAATTTAGAGTAAGAAGATATAACATAAACGTGAAAGTGGAATACTCTAAGTTATAAATTTCTATCTTTTGAAATTTTATGTAGATTACTGTTAGTTTTCAATAATCACTCACAATGATAACATCAAATTGGTCGACCTTTCAATTAAGTTTCCTTTAAAAGTGCACCTCATGGGAAGAGACAATTTTCAACCAATTTTTTGATAGTACATAAATATATGTATCATTTAGAGAAGTTTCTCGTCAAATTTTACTTGGAAATTAAAAAAAAAAAAAAAAAATCATTGCAATAAAAAAGATAAAATTTATTCAAATAAGGCCAATATTTAATGCATTCAAAATCATGTATGTTGATATTGATCCTGTGAAATCATCCTTTACTTCAGTTTACGTGATGATTTGTTGCGAAGTATTAAAAAAGTTTTCATAGCATTATAATCTTTGTCTGAAGTGTCTTTGCTTTGTTTCTTACCGATTCTCAATATATCAGTTAGTTTTATGGAAGGTCGCTTGTTTCAATTTCGCCTGTTTCTGTTTTCAATAGTAATATAAAAAAAGTGAAATGAAAAAAAACGAATAAATTTCAAATTGAGTCTATTTGCATATGACTTTTTTCATTTGCATATAACTGTGGAACAATTCTGATATATTATTAGTAACATCAGTTCTGAATAGCAATGAACCATAAAAAGTACCAAAATCATTCTCACTGGATTTTAGGAGGGAAATTAATTCAACTCAATTAAGCTAATTTTTATATAAGAGATAAAATCACATTCATTAGTGCGGTCTTGATTTTCTGAGTTTCTTTTTTTTTTTTTTTCGGTACCATGCAGCAGAAATTTAGATGCATATATTAGGTACTGCTGCTAAATCAGCACGAGTGGACATTACCTTTTCAAGTGATCGCCATTTGATGGAAATAATTCATTCATTACTATAAATGATGACAATTCAAAACGAAACTTTGTGGATCTTTTTTTTTTTGAATTTCAACGATACTTACGAATATATTATCATGCTGCAGTGCATTTACTAAGCATGCATATACATATTTCATACAACGTATTTCATGATTTGACGTTAGACTAAAATTAATTTAATAAGATATTCTATCATTATTAGTACAATTGACTTAAGAATTATTTAAATCTTTTAAGAGAACACTGACTAAATCCATTTCGCCCCATTTTTCATAACGAAGAATCCCAGTCTATCAAACCTAAAGATACAGACTGTAGAGAATAAAAAACATCAGCATTTTCAGCTGCGATTGAACAAACTATGATTGATTTCTACAGATTTTAAATACACTGAACTGCACAATCTCCTACTTTGTTATTAGTTGTTCCTACTTTATTGAAATTTCTCACAAAAGATTCCTTTGTTGAATTATCTGGAGTACTGGTTAAATGATAAATGTTGTCCTTCTTTTCCCATCCATTTGAAACTATTTTAAAAAGGATTGCAATCAAATGCGACAATCTTTGGAGAATGGTAAATATCGAAAATCTTTTCGATTTTGTTAATATTACGCTTGCTTCATAACTATTTAATTCCACTTCATAATTAATAATTTTTTTTCTTTTTTTTTTTTTTTTTTAATAAAAGGAAATCGTTTTTAACAAATGTTATTTTTGGCTCATTTTTGACCATTCTGTACAGGGAAATGTTCATAATGGATGTCCTTGTTGTTGTCACCAATTGAACAATAGCTTCACTGTTCTTTACGATCCGAACAGTGCCAACAGTCGGTCAGTCAGTCAGTCAGTTCGTAAGTGTCATCGTACTGTCACTCTGCCACCGCTGTCGCACACCGTCTGCTGAAGTGAACTGAGTGAGTGAGTGTTTGCTGTGACCACTGGCTTACAGCAAAACACGTAATTACAGTGAGTAAAGAGGAATTACTTTATAAGAAAAGTGAGTGTCACACTGGAAGATTTAAGTATTTCGACGTGGCAGGTAGATTGGGTTTACAACAAAGATCAAACAGTTTGCTTGTCACACTGAAAGGTCTTGATAATAAAATTAGTTGCAATTCTCGCGATATTAAGCAATGCTAGCAGTTCTTTGCTAACAGACTGTAATATCCCGGACAAGGCATATAAACTTCGTTACAATTGGAGGGTCAATCTTTTGGATAATGGCTTATCACTGGTGGTATAAATCTGAAATAATTTTATTTAGTTGAGTCAATCAGTCATTAGATCACAAATTTTTCTTTTGATTTTAACACAAAATTATTTTGACTCATTATAAATTTACTTCGTTTTTTCTGGCAGTCTGCTGAACAGGCAAATAAGCCTTCAAAGCATTTATTGCAATTTTTGATAGTATCACCATTATCATTGTTGAAATTTTGCAGTAACAATGGTGTGTTATTTTAAGTGTCCAAACAACAGAAAAATTACATATTTGCTTTTTAAGCTTTTACCACATACCCACATTCTTCATATCTTATAGTTTTTTTCATTTTTTCATATCTTATTTCTGTTCCGAGCATTAATCAATCTTTGATAGTATCACCATTATCCATTTCCATTTCAAGAGAAACTATATAAAATGTTTAGATTTATTTGTGTTTATGACATTTTTCTTAAATATTTTTTCTTCTGGAACAATATTTCATTAATAATAATCGAGTTCTTCCCTCAAAAACTGTATGATGAGAAAATATTTAGACGAGGCAACCTAGCGGTGTAAAAATTTATGGGAATATAGAAGTCTTAATTTGCTTCTAATTTACCGACAACTCTGACATTCCAGATCATTCAAGAAATTTGTTATAATGTTATCAAGTCAAATGATAAATCTATTTATGTTTGCAGAGAGTACAAATTGTTATCACTCTGCCATCAACTCACAAGACATTCTCGCTTTCATAAACGACCACAACAAACATTTCTAAATTGTCTCACTTTGCCGTAGTTATTGGGTCGAACAGTATCAATAATAATATCACTTAATATATTAATAATATCTATGCATGCAATAAGTGCATGTACAATGATTGCAGTTAATTGCCTAATTCTGGTAAGCATTTGCTGAGTTTAATATTTGAGTCGAACAGTATCAGTAATAGCATCACTGAAAAACATGAATTAAAAATATATTGAAGTTATATTTGTGACAGGACATGTTCTTTTCCGATTTGGAAATGATATATTTCTAAATTTAGGTGCTATCAGTGATGGAATTAATGTTGACGAGTTCAATTTACGACTTCATTGTCACTCACGAACTTTTTTACGCATATCCGAAAAAGGTCATGCCGTAGCAGCTCATTATGCATAAGAGTTATCGTAAAATAAATCATGCACTTTTTTTTTACTAACAAAAACTAGAAATTTAAAGAGTTTTTACATTATTGAGCTCGTTTTCATATCCACCTCTTTATTGCCCCCACATCATATACTAGTATCTATTTGTTAAAATAACTTTAAAAAATTCTAGAATGACTAGGTCTCAGTCCTGCCATCGCTGCCCAAATTGTAGAAGCAATGGTCAGATATTCAGCCAGATACAAGCAATTAATACAACTTCAACAAATTTCACTCTAAAAAGTTTTCGCTGCTTCTCCATATCCTTCCGATACTTTTTTCAGACGATACTGATTGCTCCATCACAAAGTCTTCTCAAGTACATCGCAATATCCTTATCGTTTTTTCTATCGTTTGCATCAATTACTCACTTTTCATATCGATATCAGCGTCTAACCCATACATATTTCACGATTATGGTAAATCCGACATACTTTCACTTATCAAACAAACATACGTTTCTTTCCTTAAATTCTTTTCTGTTTCGTTGAAATTCCGAGATTCATCATTACATGGTATATATGGATAACACAATATACCATAAAAAAAAAAAAAAAAATTAAAACGCAAGCTTCTATCTTTGAGAAAAGTATCAACTTTGGCACGATTGCTTCCTACATTAGCTACTCATCTACATTCAACATCGATAATCTTTATTATGTGCCTTCCAAGGTAAATTTGATGCATATAATAAAGTGAGAAAAAAAAGCAGCTGAATTTTTCGACCTAATTTCAAGAATATCGGCAGGACCAGCAGTATCTAATTTCCTTATCCCACTACTGTTGAAAGGAATTTCTTGTTATAAAACAATTTCTATTTGTCGCTTTCAGTATCGAATAGCACAATTTGCTTGTGCTGTACTTCATGCAATTTGTTCTTCAAATTCTTTTCAAACAACCCAAAAACTTGCGATTTTCATCAGTGGGGACGAAGAAGAAAACTTCATTGCTGCTGCTTGGTGGTACACATTACGTTTACGTTTCTCGACAGTAAGCTTTTCTGAATTGCATGATTTTGAGTTACAGATAACAAAGAGTTGATATGTGAAATTAAGTTTTGATTAAAAAGTTAGTTAAAAATTGAAACATTAATTTATCACTTCTTGCGCAAAAAAGCAAAAAAAAAGTTTTACTTTCAATGCGTTCTCTTTCAGATTTTATTCGCTGCTACTTCCATACTTATTTTATTCCTTTTCTTCCTGAATATCAGAAAAAATCATCGTCAAAGGTAAGCATATAGAGAGCTTTTTGCAACTTTCACTAGACAATCTTGGGAAGAATTGTGCAAGCTTGAGAATAAATAACAGCATTCATCACTTCTTTCGATGTGACCAAACAGAAATCAATAAAATAAAAAAATCAAATTACGTTTTGGTAGCTTTTCAGTTGCAAAATTTCCAGTATTTCATATGATCTATTGATTGTGGAACGGAAGGAAGGAATGTTTTATTTGTGATTTATTTAAAATGATAATTTAATTTGATAAATTACCATAAGCTATGCAGTGACTTCAAAGCATTCGGATTGCATCGAATATTTGCGTCAAAATCTTCAACTTTGGGAATAAAATATTTGAATCTTGAAAAATATGATATTTGCTGTCATCACTGCATCAGCATTTATTAATCAAAATCAATTTCATAAACTTCGAAAAGTTAAAAAAAAAAAAAAACCTAGATAAAAAAAATGAATGAAATCAAAAACTGAAGCGATCTTCAATTGTAATATAAATATCAATTAACGGGAACATCAATGGAAGTACGTTCCTTACTATCAATTCTGATAACTGACATTTATTGATCAAAATCATAACAATCATTAGAATGACACTAAAAGGCCATAAATAGCTTTCTGAAGCATTTCTCAACTGATCTATTGCCTTTGGGATTCTAAAAACTACATGTACCAAGAATACATGTAATTCAAACTCCACACGCCCCAAAAACAAGCAGTACTTGATGGATACCACCAACACCACCAGTACCACCAATTTTGTGCTTCTAATTTAGGAACTGGAGCTACCGTTAAGGAAGGCAAGATCGTTGAAATTAATACATCTCTTAAAGGAGGTTCTGTAAGCATCGTTCGTGGTGCTGTAGAAATAAGAGTGACACGTTTTGAAGTTGTTAGAGTTGTTGATGCCGTAGAGGGCATTTTTACAGTAGTTGCAGTTGTTGTTGATTTTGATGTCGTAGAGGACGCTGTTGAAGTTGTTACTGATGTTGTTGATTTTGATGTCGTAGAGGACGCTGTTGAAGTTGTTACTGATGTTGTTGATTTTGATGTCGTAGAGGACGCTGTTGAAGTTGTTACTGATGTTGTTGATTGTGATGTCGTAGAGGACGCTGTTGAAGTTGTTACTGATGTTGTTGATTTTGATGTCGTAGAGGACGCTGTTGAAGTTGTTACTGATGTTGTTGATTTTGATGTCGTAGAGGACGCTGTTGAAGTTGTTACTGATGTTGTTGATTTTGATGTCGTAGAGGACGCTGTTGAAGTTGTTACTGATGTTGTTGATTTTGATGTCGTAGAGGACGCTGTTGAAGTTGTTACTGATGTTGTTGATTTTGATGGCGTAGAGGATGATGCTGAAGTCGGCTATAATAATGTACTGTTAAATATGATGAAGTTGATAAAAATAGTGGAAGATGGGAAATAAAATAAAATTGATAAAATTTCCACAGTTCATTAACAGGCATCAATGATGTTTATTACTAAAAAAATTTTTTTTTTTGGTTTGATTATGAAAGAAATATAAAACAGTAAATTCAACATGGAGGAAAAAATCAATCGATCAATTGGATTTTTATTGACAAATCAATAAAAAATGATCATTTTATTCGCACAGTACTTCTATCTGATCAATTTCAGTCCTTTTATTTGTTAAAAACGATTATTCTGGCTGATAAAATTTAGAATAAAATTGTTACCATTATCATGTTGAACAACAAAATAGCGGTGAAGACAAAAGCAGATCTTTTTTTTGCGATCATCGTTTAATTTGATCAATCGGATTGAAATTAAATACAAAAGGAGTTGTTTATGAATGATATCACCAAGCGGATGCTTCATGAAATTTATTTACTTAATCAGGCAAGCGATGATTAAGCGCAGATTATCAACCATTCAAATTCCGTACACGAATTTTTTGCACATAACACTAACAGTTCCAGCATTCACTACTGTGTCTAATGCACTTCATTCAGAACGCATTGATGTAATCCTCGTTCTTCAAGTATGATAAGAAAATTCCTGTCCTACATTCCGTACCGGTAAAATAAACCTTCTGCCATTCACAAGTAAACTATTTTTCGCGCAACATTTGAAATGAAGGAATATAACTTCCAGTTTTTCTTTTCTAATATCTAGTAGCGACGACGAAGAAGCAGATGGCTTATAATTTGCAGTGTGACTGAAATGCACCGGAATTGTTATCGAGCCGAACGTCCTGCACTGAAAGATTTGATGACATTTATATAAGAATTGTTTTACTTTGCATTTATTTGGAATAATTGAATTGAATTGTAAGCATTGCTTTCCAAAATAGCACTACTCATCCAAAGCTTCAGGAAAGCGGGCATTGTTTAATGCAGCTACATCAATGAGGCTTCGCATTTGCATTCAATTGGTGAATTTTCTTTAATATAAGAGAAATCAAAAGATATGAAATGTAAACATCTTCAAATGGACAGAAAAAAGTAGTTCTTTCCATTAGAATCAAAATTGTACAACAAAACTCTGCTAATATCTAACTGTCTGTCATTCGAACATTTATCAAACCATTGTTGCTAATCATTTAGAAATAATGATTACAATGATATCATCCTTGATCAGTTATTTTATTATCATTCAACTATCTTTCAATTAATCTTATAGAAATCATTCAAGCGAGAATCAATAATTTATAAATTAAAAATATTAATCTTTTTTTTGCTGTGAAATAACCAAGAAATAATTACATAAAACCATTGCAAAAATAATTGAAAAGTTCAAATATTTATAATGTTAAGATTCTTGTGTAATTCTAATATATGATTTTACAGAATGATATAAGTAAATGAGGATATGTATCGATATTCACTTTTTTCCATGATCTCCCACAGACCGGTTGGAAAAGTTCGAATTGTTTCGTTCATTTAAAATTAATGGATAATTTCAGTTCATATTGCAAAGCAAATCAAACTTTTTGTTCCCATTTGTTTTTTTTTTTTTTTTTAAATATTCATAAAAAGGTCAAAAAATTTTTATCACTTGGAATATTTTAGGAGTCTGCGATCGGTAACCTGTTAACATTCACTTAAGCTAACAAGAAATGGTATATTATAGGCTGATTGATTTGTGTGCTTCGATTTTAAAATCTGAAATGAATAGCTAAAAGAAGTTGTATTCCTCGCTGAAGTGAAAATATTTGACATGGATTGCCGGTTTTAATTAGCTTCATTTTGCAAATTTATGTAAAAGTTCCGGAACGCTGCTTTAATTTTTACATAATACCTTTCAATAAACATATCGGAACATTGCTTGAAAATTTTTAGATTCCTAATTTTCTATAAAACAATGAGTTTTTCTTATCAATCAGTTACTGAAATAATCCATAAATCAATTAGCACACAGCAAATATGTTCTCTTTATAACGTTTATCCAAGTGATTATTATCATCACAATACTCAGTTATACTTATCATTGTTTATTCTTTGATTTATACCGATTCATCATGATAAATTTGATTAGTCGAAGAAGAATAAATCCAGTAGATTTGTGACAAAATATCTTTGTAGACTCTATTTGTATTTATATGTGCAACTAAATGGTTCATCATGTTTCCGCTTTCATGTTGTTCAGTATTTCGGAAAATCTTTATCAGAAACTTTTGTTGACATCAAATTGACAAATTGTGAAAACGTTAAATTATACATGCATACATATTACTCTTTCACTACTCCGTATTCGTTTTCTTTTCTCCCTGATTCCGCATTTCAGCCGTATCCTCTTCAGGAAACCATTTAATTTCATCATGCACTGATTGTGTTGTCTGCTCGAAGCGAGCTTCCAGGATACCTTAATGAAAGCATAATTATTCATTCATTATAAAATGATTTTTTTTTTTGAAAGTGTAAATGTAATTTTGAAAATATAAAACGAACTAAAATGAATCAATTTAGTTTTTGTTTCATTCAAGCTATCCAACTATATTCTTTAATTTGTGTGATTATTGGATCTACACTCACTATTATACTCATTTTTGATAATGATTTTAATGATCATTTTTGTTATACAGAGATAGTTTATCTTTGCTCAAGTATCGTTCAAAACATGTATTATTGAAATGATCATGCAAAACGAATTCTGAAATTAACTATTGGCGTCACTTAGACTATTTTGGATAACGTAAATTTTGCAAACTAATTATGCTGTATAAAACATAAAAGGATTGAAAATAGCATTATTAGAAGTATGATATTTCTGACATTTGTGCATGAAATTAACATTGAATTTTAAAATACTTAACAGTTTTATTTCACGTTTCTTTTTGTAAGAAGTTCCATAAAAAGTAATATTCGATAAAGGTGAAAAGTATACCAAACACTAGAAGTCATTTTAAAATTTGAACAACAAATGCAGGATAAGTAAGAAAAAATCTGAGAAAGACGTAAATTCTGAAAATTAGTCTTAATACATGTTTTGAAACATAAATGTTGTGGCGAAGAAATAATGAAGCGAATGGTCCATGCAGAAAAAAAGGACTAAATCTAATTTCATATCCTAATTTCCATTGAACACATGAAGTTTCATGGCCAATGGTCGCAAAATACTTTAACTGGGATGGAAATAGATGAGAATGATTAAAACGCGAAGTAATCGTAATTAAAACAAAACTGTAACTAGCAAAATATAGGGTCAGATTATCATTTTCCATTAACACTAGTTTTTTGTTTCGAACTTGAGTACACTTTTTTAAGAATTCTAATCAAGTGATTTGTCAATTAATGACTAATCGATTAGTGCTTTTATCTATAATCTTTTCAGCAATAACCTATATTTAATGCACAATTTAGATGAGCAACGTAGTTCATGCATCAAATATTCTTTTAAGTGTAAATGAATGAAATTAAATTATTCATAAATGAAATAACTTTAACAAAATATTTCATGGCTTCCTACAAAAAAAGAAACAGCTAACCGTCCCATGTTGGCATTGTCATAATTTCGTTTTCCACATTTAATAGATTACCGCTTGCTTCGCAATGCTTCTGAAATCTTCTTTTGCTTCCGATGCTTTAATTATTACAAAATAAACTACAATGTTTTATTGTAATGCTATCTTGTATTGCTATTGCTATATTGATGTCTTACCGCAGTTGCCATTGGTGCGATAATTTTACGCCAATGCAATCGAAGATTTTTCCACATAAACAAAATAATTGCAACCCAAATGAATACGGGTATTAGCATCCA